CGGTGGTAGTCGCTGCTCTCTCGCCTTATATATATTTCCAGTTTTTGATGACTACAGTGTTACTTATGTTGATGTTAAAATTCTGTTGGTGACCATATTATTATATATTGTGTTGCCAACGAACGTGTTGCCTGCACAATTGTCAGTGAAGGAATTTCGTGACAACGAATTGATTAAACTGTAAAAATGTTTCGTAAGTGTTAAATACGTTAGCGAGGTGTGGTAGAAGTGCACTAGCGGTGAGTGTGGTAGGATGGACCGGAGGAGCAGGATGTTGGTGAGAGCGCTGAGGCTCCTGGCGACGCCATGTTGATGGCCGCAGTAGTGCCTAGAGATACGGTGGTCACTTACAAGCCTCCTCGCGGAACTAAGGTCAACCTCAGCACCGCACACCACGTGGCTCTCGCCGATACGGGCGCCGTGAGCCCGGTGAAGGGTGAACCGGTCTCCGAGGACGACCAGTCGCCTACTCATGCCAGCCGAGGGAGACTTAAATCCATCCAGATTCATAGTCCCCAGCTGCCACCCGCTGCCGGTAGCGTCACCAACCATATCATCACCGCTGAACTCAACCACACGTCGGGTTCTCTCTACAACTTGTGCCATGCTACCAATAACGGGAGTGTGGCCCAGCTGGCCCGGGCCGCTATCACCCGAGCCAACTCCCGCCGGGCTACCCTTATATCACAGAAGTCGAGTACCAGTACGAACGTCTCTGTAGATAAGACCGAACATCCATCTAGATCACCTACATCCTTCAGCCGAACTACCAGCTTGTGTTGCGACGCGAACGACTCGAGGCCGAACAGTATCCACAGCAGCACCACCACTGAAGAGATAAATCTGGCGATCCCACTGGATGAAGAAGAGAGGGTGGAGGTAGAGAGAGAGGCCCAGAGTTCCCAGGTGTTAATGCTTAAATCACGCAGCGTGACCTTGACGCCAGAGGTGGTGTCGCAGCAGCCACCGCTACGGGATCAGCACGGGTTGCCGCGACCTCTCGACCTCACGCCCTCCAGCCTCCAGCAGCGGCGCTCCGGCCTCCTCTTGGACCAGGCTCGCCGCGCCAACTATCGAGCTAACAAAAATGTCTCGTTCGACAATACAACACGGACAGAAGTGTACGAGACGGAGTTGACAGAATCTGAGACAGACGAGCGCGAGTTCGTGCGGTTAATGAGTCATTGGGAGCGGCGTGCCCATCTGCGGCTGCCTCTTACAGCCGAAAACGATTACTGTCCGCCTGGCAAGGAAGAGCTCGGCTTTCTGCCTAAGGTCCTGTGTTTTGTCTTGGCGCTGGTCATCACGGGAGGCATCCTGTATGGCTTCAATCTTGTCATCTCCCATATGAATATGAATCTCTTCTCCGCATGAGTACTCTTCAAGGCTTCGCAGGTGAGAGGTGGTTCGTCAGTGCGTGTCCCACCACTGCCCAATTGACTGTAGTGCCTCACTGTCTTAATTCAATATTTCATCTTTATCACATGTCACATAAGGTACTTTAAAGGGTATAAGAAAAATCAGCTATTTTCTCAGGGTGTTCATCAATCCACTTTTTTGTATTAACACATTTAGGTACATCTGTATTTGTGCGGCTCCTTACCACCATATGAAGGGGAGTACAGTGTGTCAAAAAGCTAGCTACGTGATGTTAACAATCCCCATCACACAGGATGGTTAGTAATACAGAGGCATGTGATAAGTAGTCTGCACTAGCAGACTCTGGGTGCATTATGAGGATATTCTCAAGAACTGGTGGTTAGGTTGAAGAGGAAGCCTAAGAACTTTATGGCATTTATTTTTACTTTTTTTCTTTTAACTTTGCTCACCACTTGGGGGATGGACGGTAGAGCGACGGTCTGGCTGCATGCAGGTCGGCGTTCAATCCCCGACCGTCCAGGTAGTTAGGCACCATTCCTTCCCCCTCCCCCCGTCCCAAATCCTTATCCTGACACCTTCCCAGTGCTGTATAGTCGTAATGGCTTGGCGGTTCCCCCCTTGATAGTTTCCTTCCCTTCACGTTATGAGCGATTTTTGCAGAGTATAATAAAACACAATATAACTGTGGAAATGTATTTCCTTGAAAAAAAAATTAAAGTCAAAACGAACTTACATAACACGGAAAACTTGTTAATTCAATTGTGCAGAACGCTGCCTTTTCATTCTCAAACTGCCGACCTTATTTTATTCCTCCAATGCAACCTTATTTTTTCTGCTTTCCAGAAGTGAAGACGGGGCAGCGAAGGGCTGTATATTACAGTAAAACTATCAGTAAAATTGGCTCATCATCTCCTGTGAAAGCGTCATTCTCACACATCTTTTTCAAAACACAGATTAATGTAGTAATCCCACCGTGGCTTTACCATAGGCTGCTGATCTTTAACAGATTTTCTCACATTTTCCCAAATGTAGGGTTCTAGGAATATGAAATAATAATAGAGCTGCCATATAATAGCTGGACAATATTCAGATTGGTAAATCGGAATGTCAAAAAGCACTGGAAGTTTGATATCAGGGATGTTTACTCACGAGTTCTGGGAGTCATGATCAGTAGGAATGTTTACCCATGAGTTCTGGGAGTAATGATTATTAGGATATTAATTTCCATGTCGCATTCACTACTAAATATCTCACTGGCCCCACTCGCACTAACCATTGACTTTAAAAGAAATTCATATTTTTATATAGAAGTAATAAGCTTTCATATGTGCTGTGAGGGTCGGCAGATGTATGTCTGGGGAGGGAGTGAGAGCAAGGTATGGGTGCAGTATATCCGGGAAACCTTCCATGAGTTGTGAGTCGACCAGTGCTGACACCTGCACCTGGGCTCGGCGTGTAGCCTGATGCTTGACCCTTGCTGGGAGTCAAGGTCGGGTGTGCTTGTCAACGATCAGGCAAATGAATATTAGCATGATCTTGGTACTAACGTGTAGCAATACTACGAGGGCTGCTTCTTACAGCTACGGCAAGGAGCCTCTCATGCCACTAATTAATACAATTGTAAAGGAATTAGTTCATTTATATCATCCAAGTAGTTATTTATTTTTAATTAATATAGAGAATTTCGGTAGGAGGGTTTTGAACGTAGTACGATTTTTTTAATTATGATTATCGGAATTTTTAATTATGATTATCGGAATTTGATAATAAATTTCCAATTTTTAAGATTGTACCCAGCAACGAAGTGTTTAGACTTGTGGCGGCATGCCCTGAGCGAGATACCCAAATTCATGATAAACACTAATCAAGCATCTGTATTTCAATCAGGAAATCTATATAAATAAAAATGGAAATGTTCGTTTGTACATAACCGCTAATCTCCGAAAGTTCTTCACCGATTGCTTTGAAATTTTCACACAACGTTCCATTCGCATCCGAGCAGGTTTTTATATACATACTATATAGATGTCACGTCTGTGACGGTAAAAAAAAAAACATGCTTTTTCTGAAAAACTGTTTTTCATGGGAGGGAAATCTTCGAAACTTCTCTACCGAATCCTTTGAAATTTTGACGCAATGTTGCATTCGAATAGGCGCGTTTTTTTATATACCTAGTATATAGATGCCACCCCTGTGACAGGTAAAAACATGCGTTTTTGAAAAACAGCGCCATCTGTGGCTCAGCAACGCACATGCGTTGCTGAGCCGCAGCAACGCGTGGCCGGGTACTGCTAGTGGTTATATAAGTCTTTTTAAATATTTTGAATTAAGCTTCTCGGTGAGTCCTGGTAATTGAACGGATATATTCCTCACACTTGGTTCTTATGCTCAAGTGAGTTAGTTATAACATTTCTAGTACCACGTTTAACTTCATTAATAGGAGGGGAGGGATGCCTGTCAAACAGAGGAGTGTATCTTTTCCTTCAATGTAAGACATAACTCAGAGAATAAGTCACAATAACGTGGCTGAAAATTAATAGGCCAATCCGCACCTATGAAAATAAAAGAATATAAGGTCCTGGATTCTTGTTAAGGGTCCAGGACGGACCGAAATGTGTGTCGCCCCAGTCCTCTAGTTGCATGTGTGTAGGTTGGGTTAGTTATGGTATAGTTATCACTCCCTGTGAGCCAAAATTCATGGAGGGAAATTAGTGGGTGTTGGGCTTAAGGCCTATCAACCTCTGGATGGTTATTAAGGCCACAATTGTTTACTGACCAGCCTACAAGAGTACTTTAGTCCTGACCACAGCCAAGGACTAAAGTAAACTCTCAAGTGTTTATACAGAGAAGTGGGGGTATACCTCTCGGTGTATATATCCCTTATACAGAGAAGAGGGGGTATACCTCTCGGTGTATATATCCCTTGTGACTGGGAAAGTCGATGCAAGGTTCAATTAAAGAGCAACGACTGTGTCACCATACATTACTCTGTAAGGTCATAGGAACCATGAATCATTGAAACCTCTTTCTTTGTAAAGGAACTATAGGTCAGGCAGACTCTTACGAAACAATTCCAGTCTAAAGCTATGTGCCACTGAGAAAATCAGAAGAGAGACATACACTTTGTAACACACAAGTCGCTAAAGACGCACTCGGAAAAGATACTACTTTTGAAACGAAGGATTCAAATGCCTCTCATCAGATGGTTAGAAGTGTAGAGAAAATCAATGTCAAAAGCTGTCTCGAGAGAGAGAGTGAACTGAAGCAGCTCTGCATTTAAGAAGAATTCAACGTCTTCCTCAGCCCACAAGAGTACCAAGACAAACACTTCTTTTGTAAAGATTTTCGTAGATGATAACACAATATAACGAAGGAGGAGTCTGCACTGATGGTAGCTCTCGCGTGTTACGAAAGCCAGTTATCCATAAGCTATGGGAATGTAAGATAAGTAAATAATCGAAGGAATAAAGCAGCCATATTAACGAAGATGAGAATGATTCCTAGTAGCTTCTCACATGCCTCAAATGAGAATGATTCCTAATTTGTGATATGCTTGAAATGAGAATGATTCCTAGTAACTTGTATTCACCTAGTTGTGCTTGCGGGAGTTGAGCTCTGGCTCTTTCGGCCCGCCTCTCAACTGTCAATCTACTGATTTTTTATTTTCACACACACACACACACACACACACACACACACACACACACACACACACACACACACACACACACACACACACACACACACACACACACATCTCCAGGAAGCAGCTAGTAGCGCCTGTCTTACTCCCAGGTACCTATTTACTGCTTAGGTAACAGAGGCATCAGGGGGGAAAGAAACCTGCCCATTTGTTTCCGCCATCGGCGGGGATCGATCCCCAGTCCCTAGGATTACGAATACCAAGCGCTGTCCACTCGGCCACCAGGCCCCCTTGTGATCTGCTGGAAATAAGAATGATTCCTATTATATTTTTTAAGTGAAAATGTAATACCATTTTTTTAACCGCAAATAATGAAGAAATTAGCAGTGGGAAACATTATTGGCTGATAATGTGTACGGTGTGTGTTAAGGCTTAAGCAGAGGCAGCAAATTACAAGGGTGGAGGGGTAGGGAGAGCCTAGTATATATATACTTAGTTGGATAGTTGATGGTTCACTACGGGCTCACCATAGCCCGTGCTACTGGAAACTTTTTGTTCCAGGTAGCGAATCTTAAACAACAACACAGTTGATGGTTGGATGAGAACCCTGGCCGTGCCACGACACTTGGCCACTGGCAATGTGCTCATAAAGTGCCGCTAAAATATTCTTTTTTTTTTGTACACAAGTCTTGACACCTGAACTGAGCAAGTTAACATTCCTTGCGGTTGATAATGCGGCGCACTTGAAACCATTTTTTAAAACATAATTATAATATCCGATTTGTTCAAAAAGCAATTACAGTTGTGTATATAATAATTATGTTACTGGGAACAATACCGGGTTACAAACGGCAGAATTTGTTACCTGTTAAACATAATGTGACAGTTACACATAGACTAACTGCGTGTTACCATTTTTGTAACGTCATAAACGCTAATATATAGGCCTAATGCATTATTATTCTTTACAGGACGAAGTGATCACGGAGTCCCTTAAGGTGTTCGAGGGGCTGTAGTTTCCCCAAGGCGCGTCCGTTCAGACGATGAAGGGGCAGCCTACAGGAAGATGCATTACCTTCGACGACGACACCCAGATAACCATCTCCAGCCAGAGCCAAGACACTTTAGAGACGTTGAACACTGCATGATCCTGACGACACAGGATCTTAGTAACGGCCACCTGGCTGAGTGCCGGCCAGTGGAGACTGAGTGACCACGTGACAATGGTTGGCCCGGACCACGTGGCCACCCCGGCCCACGTGGCCACCCCGGCATACCATACAACTGAAAATGTGTGGGTGTTTTTGTTCATATATATAGGCATGTTATGTGACCTGTGGACGTCCAGTGAACTCGGGTCTACACTCGATTGCATAAGTGACGGTGATAACAGCACTCGATATGCATAATACAAAAATGCTCAAAACTGTTTGGAAAACTAGGAAAATAATATATCGAACAAGAAACATTATCAATATCAGTATTACTACGACTGACTCCGAAAATACTCGTTGCATCCCTCGTGTCGCAGATAAACAGCAATAGTGAATGAAATATTTTTTAGTTACATTGACTTGTACCTATAATGTTGACGTTAAGAAAACTTCCAGTAAGGTGAGTGAGTGGAAGTACCGTGTACCATACCTCAAAAGGGTGCGAGCGTAAAGGTACCTTTTATGCTCCCCCCCCCCCCCGCAAGCCCCTCCCTCGCCACAAGGACCTTGGGGGTGACCCAAGTATTAAACTGCGACTACTAAGCGTTGCCAGTAACTGGAATAGTGTCCACAAGGCGTTTCTGCAAGCACAATATCGTTCCGTTATGCTCGCTTAGGGGCTACAAATATTAAACAAAAAATATCATAATCTTGAGTAAGCGTAAGAGATTAGGCTTATGCTTACCTAAGCCTCAACGTGTAAAAAGATATATACATATATAAATATATCTAAATGTTTCGCTATAAATTCATTCAAGATTTTTATAAGTACTCTAAAAATAATGTAGGCATTTCATAATTTTCTTCCTCATATTGCAGCAAGACTTAAATAACAAACTACATGTAACCATATTCAGTGATATCAACTCTACGTGTGTCAATAAGGCTAAAGAGTATGTACGTATTGATTTGTACTTGCTTTTGACATGATCACTTGTTATACAAATTCAGAGCAATATCTGGGGGCTGTAAATGAAGGGAAGGCCTCAGAGTAGGACGTGTGTTGCATGTTCTTATGTCCTTAGTCGGTTTCTCTTTTTCGTGTCCTTTTCCTCGTCTTCTTGCACCTTTCCCTCTTCATCCTCCTGCACCCCCTCACCACCCCAGCACAAATATACTCCATCAGTGCACCGGGACTGACTACCGTCATCTGTTGTATGTTCTTCAACCTAGTAGTTCGTGTGACAGCCGCTCCCAGACCTGCTTCATTCCGCCAGTTCGTGTGGCTCACAGCCGTTCCCAGCTCTGCATCAACTGACCAGTTCGTGTGGCTAGGGGGTAGTTCCCGGCCCCGCTTCATCCCACCAGTTACTGTAGGTAGCGCTCTACAAAAATCTGATGGTTAAGCTCAACAAGACGCTGTTTCCCGCAGCAACCAGGAGTCATTGTCATGTAAAGCATCAGTGGCCTGTAGGTATAACTGTTATTAATATATTGGTGATTTCAGTTAAAAATAGTAGTTCTCTGCAATTACTATCTTGGTTGTGTTATATTAGTTGCTTTCTGTAAGACAAAAAATCATTCCAACCTTTGACCTCCAATTATTCAAAAAGTGTATGCGGAGTTATGGACATTTGCTTATGTTTTGAATGAACAGCATGTTAAAATTTATGAATGCGTCTTTTGGGGTTGACCGCTGGATGGAATGGACTTGGTCTGAGGACGGGTTGCCGAGTGCGCTGTCCAGTGTGGAAGCGCTTGTCTCTGGCGATGGGCTGAATTGGTTTGAAGAAATCATAAACACTCAAACGGCAAAGCATTAACAGGATTGCCAAAAGGTGAGACAGACTTCAACACTTGTAAAATACAATATTTACGCAATAAAACAACAGTGTGGAAAGATGAACCTTGTAGATCTTTATTAAAAGAGCCAAATGACAGTAGTTATTTAAAGCTGTGAATAACAGAAACACTTGCTAGGTAAAATCAGTCTTAACGGATATTAATTATGGACTTAAATGCTAGCTGTGCTACTGTCTTCCTCGGGCCGTAAGACTAACTGTTGTCTCCTTACCTGAGGCTAGGCTGTCACTTCCTCAACTAAGGCCAGTCCACCACTTACCCAGTACACTCCATCATGTGTTCAAATATACCTTTAAACGCCTTTATTCTTTTTTCGTTTTAGTCGCCTTGCTAATACTGTAACTTTTTTTCCGACTGCTAATTGATCAATAATATTTGATTCAGGAAATAATAAAATAAAAAAGAAGCAAAATTTTAGCATTACTGAATTATTTTGTTAAGTAAAGTTGTGATAATTTTAAGAATCGGATATGAGGCTCTCCCAGTCTAAGGAATAGATCAACATTTACAGTAAAATAAGAATGACAAATAATACACTTTTTCGTAAATGGATTGAAGTACAGACTTACGCTTAAATTAAGAATGGCGGGGAAAGCGCTTGAGTGACAGTTGAAGCGAGAGTCTGACAGTGATATCCTTGTAGGATGAAGCACTTGAGCGATAGTTAAAGAGGGAATAGGGTAGTGTTATCCTCGTAGCATGAAGCGCTTGAGCGACTGTTGAAGTCTGGCAGCGTTACCCTCGTAGCCTGAAGCCTGAGACTTGTATGTAGCGCACAGCAACTTAATTGCATTTTCAGCTGACTAATAATTTTCAGCAATATTTGATGATAGATAGGAATTTAGAATTCAGGGTATTTAAACATTCTCCTATATCGAAATAGCCGCTTGATAGAGAAATTCCACCATTTAACGCTGCTGCAAATTATGAAAAATTGCCAATCATTTTTATTTTATTTAATTTTAGGCAATAATTATGTGTAGAATTACTATGCTTATAGTTAAGCAAATTAGCTGGTATTAAGATACTATAATATCACATCACAAAAATAAGTCTTAGAGCTTTCATAGTCGTTATTTTGAACACAAGGATGATATCTTAAGTTATTACTTGACTTAAGGCATACTTCAGGGAAAGTAATATTATTACCGTTTTTTTTAATATAGATAAATAAAAGGTCTTCAATGCGACTGGAAGCCCGTAGTGCAATGGTTAGTGTACTGTGTATAATGTTAACTTGTGGTGTGTTGGCAAGCGGCAGCAGGGAGCGTCAGGTGTAAATAACGCGGAGACCTTCGTCACGTTTGTCTTCCCTTGAGTAATAACTTCAGCAAGAGGCACTATACAATTATCCTATTTAAAGACTGTGGTAGTTAAACGACCCACTGTTCACTCTAGTCTTCCTAGATGTTAGCCAACTAGTAACTGTTTCAGTTGCCCATATCTGAAAAAGGTGTTTTATTAGAGAGAAAAAAAATGACCCCCAAATATTTTGTGGGTTAGATGGACTTGTATTTAACGCTGTTTTGGATCTTGTGTGGTAATACATTTCTGTGTGGCTGCCTAGACAGCTGGGCGCTCTGGGGCGAGAGGCAAGCTTGTGGTTCTTGTTCATACCTTCCCTCTGCCTTTGGATGTGCTTCCCAATGTAATTAGTGGCAGAATAGCTAATTACACCATTGCTTGTAGTAGCAGAAAACGAAATTATTGAATAAATGTTGGTAGGATAATTGGCTTAGGCATTTGGTTGAAGTAATTAACACGTTGGTATATGTGCTGCTGCCACTTCCAAGGGAAGTCGGTGCATCCAGCTGCTCAAAATCAAATGATGAACAAAGCAGCAATACAGCTGAAAAAAATAATCAAAATCGAGGCAGTAAGACTGATATGTGGAGTCTTGAAATGTTTATTTTATAGACTCTGCAACTGGCTACTGTCTCACGAAGCAGTCTCAAGGCAAGAGACTGCTATCCTCTTTCTCGCATCTTCACTGGTGCTTGGCTTTAGACATTTTTATTTCAGTATTAAGGCATCTCATATTATAGGTAAATGAACTGAGGAATCTACGATAATTACCCTTAAGAGAATTATAATGATAATGTTTTTTATTTATGCCGGCTACCACTTCAACTTTTTACAAATGTTTAGTCATAGGCTTGAATATCGTTGACAATGATAGAGAGCTCCGTTGAGATAATTGATGTGTGTATTCCCCCTTATGTTACAAGATAAACTAGCGGTGCGGAAGTTAGAAGTAAATAAGGCCAGTACTTGTTTACTTATGTCTGGATAGCAATAACTTCACACATATTTGTTTAGCAAGTGTTCCAGTATTAGGTTATGTTTGTTAAGGTAATGACCGAAGAATATGGCACTGATAGATTTGACATATTTAGATTTACTCAGGTTTTTCTTATATGCACGATTACAAATTTTTTTAACATAAATAAATTTCGCCTAGTAGGTTCAACATGTAGTGCTAGAATAAATTATTTTTCATTTTTAATCCTATTCATGAATGAATACATAACACCTGACTTCTGGGTTTGTGCAATTATAGTTTTGTACCTCCAGATACATTTTATTAAGTCTAATACTTTTCAAAACTGTTTAAACACTAAGTCATGGAAGGATGACTTCCTTCCTGAAGGACATCAGTGCTCACTTCTGTAACCAGGCAGGCAGGCAAAGTTAAGAATGAAATCTTCATATTACAGATTGTCAATATGTAAATTAAAAATTGCTGACTGACAGCTCACTGGGGGCAAGTCTGACTGACAGCTCACCGGTGGGTACGCCTGACTGACAACTCACTGGGGGCAAGTCTGACTGACAGCTCTCCGGTGGGCACGTCTGACTGACAGCTCACCGGTGGGCACGTCTGACTGACAGCTCACCGGGGGCACGTTTGACTGACAGCTCACCGGTGGGTACGCCTGACTGACAGCTCACTGGGGGCAAGTCTGACTGACAGCTCTCCGGTGGGCACGTCTGACTGACAGCTCACCGGTGGGCACGTCTGACTGACAGCTCACCGGTGGGTACGCCTGACTGACAACTCACTGGGGGCAAGTCTGACTGACAGCTCTCCGGTGGGCACGTCTGACTGACAGCTCACCGGGGGCACGCCTGACTGACAGCTCACCGGTGGGCACGTCTGACTGACAGCTCACCGGGGGCACGTTTGACTGACAGCTCACCGGTGGGTACGCCTGACTGACAGCTCACCGGTGGGCATGTCTGACTGACAGCTCACCGGTGGGTACGCCTGACTGACAGCTCACCGGTGGGTACGCCTGACTGACAGCTCACCGGGGGCACATCAGACAGACTCCTCGAAGGTCTTTGTATACAGGTTTTCTCAGCAATTGCAATCTTTTTCAATGTAGAATACTCCATTATTATATAAGTATTTTGTTTGCTTCATTTCCATTCTAATTTGAATACATTGTTTCTGGCAATACATGACAATCTCATTTGTGTAAATGATTTTAAGAAGAGGTTAAATAATTAATAATAATAATAATAATATTAATAATAATAATAATAATAATAATAATAATAGGAATATGGTTTTATAATCTCGGTGAAATACCTGTCCACACACAGGTTGTTTATAATGATGGTGGAGTAAGGCTATGCTTGGCACTCACAATCACACTTGGTCAGTGCCAAAGATGAGTGGTGGACAGATTCGACGGTATGACATTCATTTCATTCCTGTATAACAGTTCCGTGTATGAGGAATGTATTTGGGTCATGTTCTACACTGTGTTAGGCTTCCATTTTTTCGGAAGAAATGTATTCCTTGTTAATCCTTTATGCACTGTTTACAAATGTCCCATGTTTGCATATTTTTACATTTAAAAAGCCAATCTTAACTTCATGTTCATCTTTGCCAGTTGGTATACGTGATTACAGAGTTGATACTAAAATGACAAGAAAAAATATGAGACAGAAACGTTCACCTTTTGTTGTGTTGTAAAAATGTTCTTCCGCTAACAAGTTAGATCAATATTTGAGCCGTACATGATTACTCTGACAAATCTTTGGTTTGATTCAGCACTTGTTAATGACACTCACAGTCTTCAACAGTCACAGTCTTCAACAGTCACAGTCTTCAACGTTCACGGTCTTCAACAGTCACTATAGTCTCGTAAATTATATGGAAATTTTGTATAACGTTACCATAGTCTCATCTTCTATTCTTTTATTATTGTCATTGCCGACCGAGCTGCGGGGGGCTCTTAACTATTTACTCTGAACTTCAGTAGTAATTTACTAGTACTGTCGTTTCTGCATAACTTCTTCCTATGTACTTTGAGATTATTTGTACATTACTGATAATTCGTAAAATTATTTATATTTATTCCTGGTAACTTTAAAGTTTGATATTGCCTTAGATTGACATCAATAACTGTCCTTTGTTTGAATTTTAATTAGTATTTCACATGTAATGCCCACCACAAACTACAATAGTGTTCACTGGTGACACTGGAGATTGTCCAGGAATTAACAAACCTGCTATCTTCATCGTACAACCACATCACAACTGCATAAACATTTAATGTTTAGTTTCTATACTGACATTTACAAATTAATTTGAATACATATATAACAGGTTCCACTTGACCCTCCCTCTTCTCCGCTCACTCATGCTGGTTCTCTAAGGCATTCCTAACTTTGTATTTTATTTTTATTATTTTTTTTTGCAAGGGCACGCGGGGAAGCAGATTTAACTCTGTAATAAAGGAGAAATGGACTCAGGAACTGACGAATGTTTATTAACTAGTACATCTCCTGACATGCTCAGTATCGATACGGAGTGGGGGATATTCAGCCATTACTAGATAATTTATCTCAAGTCATTTAAAAATCCTATTTGACTTTGTTTTAGTGCCTAGAGGCTCATTAGACATAATTATGAGAACTGCTTCTTCATTTTTTTTAGAAACCTCAAGTAAAACGAATTCTTAAGCTATAATTTTGTACATCTTTTGAGGTTGGTTAAAAAGTCACAGCATTATTTGTCGAGCTGGCTGACCTCAGCGTCCCCCCCCCCCACCCTCCGAGTTGAAGCATGACATCATGGGCAATATTGCATTTGTTTACCTTGTCCTCCACTCTACCTCTCTGACTTGTACATAGATCTCATCATGGCCTTCATTTGTTCCCAACACTCTTAGTGTCTCACGAAGCCTCACTTCGTCTCAGAATTTTGTACCGGTGTTAACTAAGCTAATCCAAACTCTCCATCACCTCCTAATACAATTTTTGTAACCGATTATGTATCTTCGATAACCTCTCAGTATGTGTCATTTTCAGAATAGCTTGATACGAGTGTCTTTCTTGCATCATCTCTAGAGTGTGATAACAGTTATTGATTTTCTTAGTAACTGTTAGTTTAACTGGAGTGTCCCATGAACCGTCACTGTCCAATTGTTAATTTTAGTTTGATTTGTCATCCAAATGTATCCACTTTTTTATCGCGCGCTTTGGGCATGTGTACATATATATGTGGTCAGTTGTAAATATTTGTTACATGACAATTTATTCTACTCCGTTGAAAAAACAACAAAAAAACATTATCATCAATTGTTCCAAATAAAGCTCATTATACATATGTCTTAATTTTATTTGCCCTTATTATGTATTTTTTATACTCTCTTGTGTGTTATAATCACACATATACACACTTGACCTCGAGGGACTTCGAAAAGAAGAGAAATCGCTAAGTCAGTGTGAGGAATTCCACTTGGAAGGAATATGAACACGACGAGCACGCATCGGTACCCAAACCTAAGAAACTCCTTCATGGTCTTCTTCATTGGGAAATGCAGGCCAGTTGCGAGAGTTTTTTTTTTTTTTTTGCAGGGATATTCCTGCGCGGGCCCTAAGCCTCTGGCTGGCCCACTAAGTGTTGCTTGTTTCTGTTTTACTTGGGCGGAGTATGAGTATTTATGACTCGTATGGTCGCTTCAGTAAGATTTTGTCCCATGTATTTAACAACTTCTGCTCTGTTGAATCTCAGTTGAAATCTTATTGGGTTTGTAACTGTGCACTGTGTTAGATAATGTTCCAGTGGTCTGTCGGGAATTTCTCCACAGTGTTGACATTTCCTCTCTTCTTCCGGAACCTGTAAGCCCATTTCCCATGCACATGGGTATCCAAGCCTGATGCGATGTAAGTGTACTTCTGCTCTACTGCTCCCTTTCGTCAAACTAAGTGGTTCGTAGTTGGTTGAATTCTTGTACCAACCCGCAGATCCTGATGTTGCAACTGCTGTGTTGTGGTCAATCAATGTACATCTTCTGCATTGCTCTGTTTCTAATTACTTTCTTAATCTGTGGTATGTAAATGTCTACATTTCTTCTCTTAGTTGCAAGTTTTGCAGCTTCGTCTGCAATGTCATTTCCTATTATTCCCACATGACTTGGCACCCAACGGCCTTGACGTTTGAGTGTTTGCATTAATGATATGACATTTGTGATCAGATGGATGTTGTCATGTATGTGTTCTTGTTGCAAGGTTTCAATGGAAGTTCTCAAATCTGTATATGTTCAGCAAGAGCATGTTCCAAAGCCTTTTGAATGGCTAGCATCTCTGTTTGTAAAGTTGAACACCCATTTGAGTCTCCAACTATTTACAGAATTTCTTGCTTTAACTGCAGCTCCGGTTTCTTGTCCCTGCTGGTCTACTGATCAATCTGTGAAGTATGTGAAGCTGTTGGAGGTCAAGTTTGCTTCTATATGCATCTGTCCAATATTACGTAGCAGATGAGGATTAGTCTGGTTCTTTCTTCCTTCAAGAACCATAATCTTAAAGTCTGCTGGCAGAGATTCCCAAGGGGCTTGCATAACAAAGTCTGCATGTATTTCATCGACACCCCTCTCAGTGATTGTGTTTGTTATATCGAATGTATTGATGGTGTTTATCGCACAATGGGTCCTCCTGTTGCTATTGGGGGCTCTTCTGTCCCGAGTTAGGGCTCCAGTGATTATATCTTTAAGTGAACTAATTCTAGGTCTAGTCAATATCTTGGACAGCATGCACGCAGCAATCCCTTTTACCCTTATTTCAATCGACGTTAGCATGGTTTCTAGTCTTAGGTTCAGTATTTTAGTCCATCTGGGAGCTCCTGTTATGACTCACATTGCATCATTTTGAATAACCTCAACGTTTGCCCACTGACCAGGAGAAAGAGTGAGTAGGGCAGGCGCTCCATAATCAACTAGGGAACTCGTGCGCATATACTAACTAAACTAAGTTACAAGTCATTGTTCACGTGTACTCTTGTTACTCCTTTTGATACTTGTACTCTTGTTTGATGACCAATGTGATAGGTTCCCAAATAAAAGATTAAGACGAGATACAGTTGTTAATTTTAAACTTAGAATAAGACATTCAGCTAATGCTGGGATATGGAATATCCACTGTGGAATTTACAATCTTGAGGTTATCTTGAGATGATTTCGGGGCTTTTTAGTGTCCCCGCGGCCCGGTCCTCGACCAGGCCTCCACCCCCAGGAAGCAGCCCGTGACAGCTGACTAACACCCAGGTACCTATTTTACTGCTAGGTGACAGGGGCATAGGGTGAAAGAAACTCTGCCCATTGTTTCTCGCCGGCACCCGGGATTGAACCCGGGACCACAGGATCATAAGCCCAGCGTGCTGTCCGCTCGGCCGACCGGCTCCGGACAAGCGTGCATTAGCCACTTAGAAATTCGGCAGGATAGGGTAGGGAACCTAGGTTGTATGTATTTAGAGATTATGTCCCGCTAGAACTAAAACTAGTTTTCTCTATACCTATATAGACGCACTGTACAGTATTGTAAAAACCCTAACCAAGGAAGTGTTTATTGGACAAGTACGCGTCCAGCTGATGTGTTTGGGGGACACTGACATAACAGTGATGTCAGTCACTGTCATTAAGTGCAACAGTCAACATAAACTGTTAGGGGTGCATCCTGGTGAAAGACAGTTTAATAAAATTAACAGGCTGCTTGTAACTAACAGTGGAAACCCATATCTCAGCATGCAAAAATTTGAAATTTGGAAGTCAAGGTATCAAATATATATAGGATCTTCATATAAGTGATTTAGAAGTGACTAAACAAAGTGGGATATGAATCTTACAGCTAGTATGCGAGCCGTGACAACATCAGTCTACTTATCGTATTACCTGTCCCATTAAACGTGCTTTCACACACTTCATTGTAATAGACAATGCATCTGCCAGCTCCTCTCTGCACTCTTCTACTGTCTTCAAATTCATCGGAGAGTTAATACAGTCAGATTGTACTTACTTACTCCATACTTGTTTCAGTTCGATGTAGGGCTACTTCTCCTGGTGAAGATGCATAGCGAATAACAGTATGAGAGTGCTGGCTCACCTGCCCAACAGTCTTCTGTGTAAACTTTTCTTATGGTAGCCTCTTTTACCTGACCGCGAGACAAAATTAATGGCCAGACGCGAAGACCTGTAATGGCCAGACGCGAAGACCTGTAATGGTCAGACGTGAGGACCTGTAATGGTCAGACGCGAGGACCTGTAATGGCCAGACGCGAGGACCTGTAATGGCCAGACACGAAGACCTGTAATGGTCAGATGTGAGGACCTGTAATGGTCAGACGCGAGGACCTGTAATGGCCAGACGCGAGGACCTGTAATGGCCAGACACGAGGACCTGTAATGGTCAGACGCGAGGACCTGTAATGGCCAGACGCGAGGACCTGTAATGGCCAGACGCGAGGACCTGTAATGGCCAGACGCGAGGACCTGTAATGGCCAGACGCGAGGACCTGTAACGGCCAGACGCGAGGACCTGTAATGGCCAGACGCGAGGACCTGTAATGGCCAGACGCGAGGACCTGTAATGGCCAGACGCGAGGACCTGTAATGGCCAGACGCGAGGACCTGTAATGGCCAGACGCGAGGACCTGTAATGGTCAGACGCGAGGACCTGTAATGGTCAGACGCGAGGACCTGTAATGGCCAGATGCGAGGACCTGTAATGGTCAGACGCGAGGACCTGTAATGGTCAGACGCGAGGACCTGTAATGGCCAGACGCGAGGACCTGTAATGGTCAGACGCGAGGACCTGTAATGGTCAGACGTGAGGACTTGTGATGGCCAGATGTGAAGACCTATAATGACCAAACGCGAATACTTATAAAGACCAAACGCGAATACTTATAATGACCAAACGCAAGGACCTGTAATACACAAACCACCAAGAACATCAACAAAACCTTGTAGATCTGAAAGAGAGAAATCTACACAGCCATTCCTTAATTGTTTTACCTGCATTTACAGGTAATTTATCAATTCCATCTATCATACTACTATGCAAGGAAAGCAACATATATAATAATATATATATATATATATATGAATCGTCCAGTAAAATCAGTAGACTCCTATAGATGTTACTTCTGCTCGGCTTATATTTGATTATAACTCTGAGTTTGCAATACCTGACGATGTAGACTTTATCAAACGTTAACTAGCTGTCAGCAAAATTATTCGCAAACTGCATCACTGTACAAGAATGTAAGAACTCTTGTATAAAAAAAACTGTGATGGAATACTAAAATATTCATGAGCTTAGAGAAAACTCACTAATGTTCACTATATGCGTATATAATTCGAATTGATCTAATAGTAGAAATTTTAGCTAATTATCTCGTTTGGTTACTTCAGGTACAGTGTAACCTTTCCACCGCCGCCCTCAGATACTGTCCGCCTTTCGGGTGCATTCGCGTGCATTTACATTAGCTAACTGTAATGTAAAGTTTCTTTTTATGAAGATCACAAATTCTAAATAATCATAACAACTATGGAACATTTTCATATATATATTTTTAATTTGGTTTAGTTTAGTTATTATATGCCATATAAATAAAAATATTTGTGTTTTATATGGGATCCCTAGCGAAGCCTGTGATGCTGCCCTCTGGTAGTGGGGCGCGGCAACAAGGGCGGACGTAAACAAGAGGAGGAGGGTGAGACACGTGCTAAAGAAATAGGGGCTCTGGACTCCCAGTTAAGACGTAATAATACTGAAGAAGGGGCAGCGATGGATTCTAATATGACAGATGGCCTCAGTCCTTACACGGGGAACCGGTCGTTAGACGATTATGTTAAGGTAAGTGTAAATTTGACCTGCATTTATAATGGTTATTAATTAACTTTCAGTGTACAATTTTTCTCATGTTCTTATACTCCAAGGTGTTGAACAGTTTCTCATTCATTGTCGTTACCAGTTCAGAGCTTGTCGCTGAAGCAAAATATTATTTAAATGTAAAAGGTGTTTACACTAGGTCTCTGTAGTACAGTTGGTCGTTCTCAACTCGACTGGAAACCCTCGGTTCGAATCGCGGATGGGACAGAAATAGTTGGGTACTTTTCCTGTCACTTAATGGCTTTGTTTACCTAGCAGTAAATTGGTACACAGAAAGAAGTCAACTGTTGTGAGGTTACATCCTGGAGAACGGCAGTAGTTTGACCGATATAAGTTTAAGTTCAATCAAATCAAATCAAATGTTTATTTAGGTAAGGTACATACATACAAGAGATTTTACAAAGAGTGATGGATTTATAGATAGGGCTAGTACATACAATGCCTAAAGCCACTATTACGCAAAGCATTTCGGGCATGAAAAACTTAAATGACTAAAGCTTAATACTAATTGAGCATAAAGAATAAAATGAGTTGAGAACAAATAAAAAAGAGATAAAAAGAGGGAACATGGCTGAAAAAGCAGCACAAATACAATTCGGTCGACAAACTGCGTCATTTAAAAAGATAGAAGTTAGTTAAAAAGTTTTAAGTTAGTTTCAGGGAGCCGACAGGGCTCCCCACAGAAAACTAGCAGTGAATGTAATGAAAAGGCATTATCTGGGTGAGCCTTGGAGGCTCCATGACACCCTCCCTCTAAATGAATAAAGCGGTTTTTCATCGTTCAAGAACTGGAGTGGTGGGCTGCCGGCTCCCCTACAGGTTGGGGGGAGCCTAATGAGCGGAAGTGCTAATACATTACAGTACTTTAAATGTTAAGTGCTCATAGGCCACTGCTCCATGCACTTCTCTTAGGGGACCAGGTTCTGGCTCGTGGTTCTTGGTAGGCATAAGAACTTCCGTGACTGATGACCCCAAACTAATACTGTATAGCAAATATCAGTTAGGATAGCTTCAGGGAGCTACATTACAGCTACGTTTCATTATATTCAATGCTGGTTTTATGCAGTTTCCTTATTTCTCTAACATAATTACATTGCTGTTGTCTACATTTACTCCAATTCTTTATTTTAATTATTTCAGAGCATTATGAATAGTGTTCGAGGATGTCAGAAAATAAGTAGCGAGCTTCAGGGCTGGCATCATTATCGGGACTATGCAGGAGTTCAGCGCACAATGGAACAAGTCAATTCGAGCATCACATCCTTGTAAGTAAAGTCTGTTTATCAGTCATTGCTTGAGTTAGAATTACAGTGCACTTCTGCTTGAATAAATAGATTTGTATAGACTCTTCTGCAAAGAACCAAACTATTATGTGGTATTCTGTACTGTACTGTATTTGCTATTTTTCTCCACAGTTTAGGGGACATTTTGCAAATTAGATGGGGTTTAGGTTGATCCCACAAGATTGTGCCATTTAAATGTTAGGAGCTCTTCAAATGTGAATGTATGGTTTGGGGAGGAAGCAGGGGGGGGGGGAGGTTAGCTCACCATTGCCTGGGTCTGAGCTCCTAGTTCTATCACTGATGTAGTGCATACCAGGTGGCCTTTCTCTTGTGCTGCTCCAGATTTCGTCTGTTCTGCTAAGTGGTGGGATGTTTACCCTTGGTGGCATTTCTTGCACGCTGCGGCATAGTATGATCGAAGTTTTGAGAGTGCTTGGAGCTTCTCCCTAGTGCTGTCCTGTTGGTAGAGTTATTTTCTCTAGTGGTCAGGGGTTGCTCCTTAGAGGTCCTCCTCTCTTATGGCTTATGGTGGCCTTTGCCCAGGATGAGTCTGGTGTCTTGTGGCTTCCATGCCTTTACCTGAGTTGGCTGCAACTTTGGCTGGTGGGGCACAAGCTCAATGGTTTTGAGGCTTTGATCTCTTTTGAATCCAGCAGTAGTTTGTTTTGACTCACTGATTTTCTGCTTGTCTTTCCCGGTGAGGTGGCGAAAATAAATGTCGCCACTCCCTGCGCCTTTGTTAGGGGGGTCAGTTTCTGGCTCTTGTTCCTGGTAGGCCTATATATATATAGAACTCCATGGCTGATGTGACCCAGTAGATGGTACTGTCTCGGCATAAAGCTTCAGAAAGCCACTAGGGCCCACCCAGAAATTGGTATTTCATTACTTTCACTGATGGTTTTCAGTATTCCAGTATTATAAACAGTAAAATAATCTAAATATGCAGTACTAAAAACCAGGAGAGTGGGACAGGTTTGCACTCTTAAGTTTGTCCACCTTGGGTATATCAGAGACTATTCACAATATACTGGTGAACCCTAAAATGGTAATGTTATAAATGTTCATTATAACAAAAATAACATCTGAAGAACAGTTATAATAATTGCATAATAGGTATGTTCTTTATTAGTTTTGTAAATAACAAAATTTAAAGTTATTGCTGTAATAACCCGCACTATCTTATCCCTTACTCCACTCAACACCCCAGCTCAACACTGCTTGCAGATCACTGCGACCCTCAAGGATCTGCCAGTTAATATTGAGATTGGAATATTAAATGAGGGGGGAACAACAAGAGAAGGGATTATTAATTTAAAACTAATAAATAAAAACTCATTAAACACTGCCACCACCTCCCTGCTCCTGAATGTGAATGTGTGTATTACTGATCCCCCAGGAAGGAAAGGGATCATTAATCATGAAACTCGAGGGGCTTATGAATCTTAGTAATATAAATGCTTGGGAAGTAAATTATGTAACTTTAAGGTAGTGAGAATCTAGAGGTTTCCAAAACCGTACATAAATACCACATATAAGAATGACTCGGTCTTAAACATAGGGAACAGATAACTAAACACAAATTACCTTAATACACTTTATTTATTAAAACGTATATATAAATAAAAATTTGTGGGAAAAATATCCTAGTCTAATAAAACATCCTAAGAGGCAACAGAATGCAATACCGATGTACATGAAATACTCAAGTGCACAATACCTTAATACTGTCATCTGGCCAGATGTTGATTGGCTGCCCCCAGATGAGAATATCTGTACCCTCAGTTGAAGCCCCAAGACACACTAAATTTATTTTTCTTAAACTACCCCCTGGGAGACCTAAGGATTTCCTCTGAAGCTTGGCTCTGGCTAGGAGCCCCAATCAATTCAAACCACAGCTGGAAGCACTGGGGCTTGCCCAATGGTCGTCAGGCACTACCCTGGGTGGGACTCCGCCTCTTGAGTCTTAGACCAAACAGTGTCATGGACCTAACCCCCGCCGCCTAGGCCTACCTGGTTTTCAACCAATCAGATCCAGGCTTGAAAATAAGGGTCTATTTCTTTTGACAGAAACTCGTGTAACGGGAAATAACAACTAACTTCGTGGGAAGGTTGGACTGGCCACCCACGGGTAACTTGAGAGCATAAGATTATGACCCTGTGGTACTATTCCTTAATTCGTCAATGGTTATAGGAAGGCAAGGGAGAGGGAAAGAGAGGGAAATAAGTGGGGGAGGAGTGGGAACAGAGAGGGCCAAAGAGAGGGACTGTCCAGCCTCCAGATAGCTCACTAGACTAAGGGAAACTTGACTTCAAACCATTATGACAGGAAGAGGCCAATGGGGTGGGGGAAGAATGACCACACAAGGGGACGGCAACCAGGGGAGAGGGAAAGGTAGAGAAGGGGACGAACAAGGGAGAAGGAAGAGGAGGAGGAGGGGAGGGGAAAATAAAGAAGGGAAGGTATGATCTGCACAGATCATTACATTACCATTGCATTTGTTTACCAAGATAATAGCACAAATCAAGCTTCTTGATAAGTATTAAAGATTCAAAAATCAAAATCAAATTATATTTTTAAAGAGAATTGTCCAGTATGAAATTACTAAAATACTGTATTACTAAAAATGGACATCTCTCTGTAATTTAAATAATGTAAATTATTTATTTACCGGTAATTTGCCAATAGGAATTATCTGTGGTGCATCATATTCATTGGCATGTATTGTATAACCAAAGCAGATGTTCTTTCGGATGACAATTTTCCTTAGTTAAGTCTTCAATCCTTGCAAGACACTGAAAAAATATTTAGTTCTTGGTATTCCAGCAAGAAAAGTCAATTTGGTGACTTAGTGTTTGGAAAGATGTCCAAAAATCTTTGCACCGTTGCTAAGTTAAGCCGCCCAATAATCCACGATCAAGGTACATGCTGACTTGGGAAAAGTACTAATTCATTTATAGCCTGATATAGGAATTCAAATTTGCCATAAAATTTTTGAAGAGTTCTCTTTATTTTCATTTTGCATAATTTTGAAGTGATATGGACTAAGTAAACTGGAGCAGTCTTTAACTTCTCTTAAACACAGAATCATTTCATTCAGTTTGTTACTCCATTGATGTCTTGGAATAGGTCTTTGATTGTGTATCAGGTAGCCACAAGTATACCGTAATCTGGTTCCCATTTATGCAGATTTCCTCTTTACAAAGAAAGCATAATACAGTAACTATTGTGTATCTGGACATGGTAAATGGAGTGAGCAGTTTTTGTGTAACTGGATGATGGTTAGATGGGTGCATGTTATATTACTGTATATTATATTATTGGGCTGGGCACTAGAGCGACGGTCTCGCTTCATGCAGGTCGGCGTTCAATCCCCAACTGTCCAAGTGGTTGGGCACCATTCCATCCCCTCGCCCCATCCCAAAACCTTATCCTGACCCCTTCCAAGTGCTATATAGTCGTAATGGCTTGGCAGTTTGCCCTGAAAATTCCATTCCATTCCATTATAGCCTTTGCAAGAGTAAAGTTGCCTGCTTAGTGAGGCATAACAGCATTACAGTACAGTACTTCAATTGCTATTAATTTCTTATTCAACAGAATTAGCAGCATCTTCAGTCATCAGGATATCAAGTTGGGATTATCTCATCACAAGCTGATTGACCAGTTTGACATGATCAGGGAAGGCAATGATGCTCTTCTTGAAAGGATTGTAAGTAAAAGGTTTTGCTGTATAAAAAATTTTTTGCTTGGGTTATTCTAGAGTTCATTTATCTCCAATTGATGGATCTGTGGGGAACAATGCATCTGCTTTTTTTTGTGTTTATATCTTGGATAATTCTTCCTCTCTCACTCATTAACAGTTATAACTTTTATAATTTACTAAAATTTCTTGGACCAGCCATTTTATTGGCTCATAGAAACATATTCCACCAAGTTATAATGACCTGTTCACCCGCCATGACCAGCAACATAACAAATACCATGACCATGGTTTGACCATGTAGTTAAGGAAGAGACCATGGTAACTTGAGCAGCAACTGAAAAACTACGTACTGTTGGTTAAAAGAACAAACATTTGACTCGATATACCCCATTCCAAATGATAATTTACATCTAATAACTTCAGTTATTACTCTACTTACCACCAGCTAGGTAATTGACTGCTAATGTGACCACCACCAGGTGGCAGATGCAGCACCATCAAAGCAGGGATGGAGGAGTCAATAACCTCTCTTGTTATCTGGCATTTAACACTTTCTTTCTTGATTGCAGTGGCTAGTAAGATAAGTTTTTATTGGTTTATCCTTTTAGACTTTGTGCAAGGGTCCCTGGTTTTGTGTTTGCTTCACAGCGTATGACTGATCTTTCTCTCTTTTTGTTGAGGGGCTTCTTGCTACCAGAGATTTCTTCTTAGGCTGAGTGGCAATTCTGTGAGTGTGGTTAAACTCCTCTTGATTTTTTGTTGTCATAGTAGTGTCTGTAGATTTTAGTTTGAAAACTGGGTACCCAGTTTTCAGTGCGAACTCAATTATCCAAATTTTTAGCAATTCAAGAAGTGTGCATCATACCTTACAAATACTGTATTCACACTTTTAATCTATTATATGAAGCCACCAAATTTTAAGTTCTGCTGGTGTCCAGTTCATGTAAATATGTATGGCAACAGGTAGGCTAAAGAGGTGACCTAGTCTGGCTTAATCAACTTGACCACCTTGTATTCCTGCCCATCCAATTGGGACTGGACAGTAGAGCGGCTGTCCCACTTCTTGCAGGTCGGCATTCAATCCCTGACCATCCAAGTGGTCGAGTGCCATTCCTTCCCTATGTTGTATCCTAAATCCATATCCTCTTATCCCTTCCAAGTACTATATACAGTAGGCATAATGGCTTAGTGTTTTCTCCTGATAGTTATCTTACCTTGTGGAAAGGTTATTATTTTCCTCTATTTTAGTAGCAGTTGTGTGAGAATTCAGTCTTCTGCATTTATATTTTGGATTTATTGATAAAATTACATTGTTGTCCCAAATAAGCTTATGGAGATCTCATAATTGATTCATCCTTAAATATAATCTTAGATGCCATATTGGAGGGAAAACAGTGCTCGCTAATATAAGCTAACTCGCTAATTTTTAGTGGAAAATGGGCCACTTTTTGTGTGATAAATATGGGCTGCTCCTAAATGTAAGGATGTAAGGCCCTAGCTGGTCAAGTGTACTACTCAAGGGGGCACTCCAGTTACTGTAGGTATGTTAATAATTGTAGAGGTCATAATGACACGAGTTTAATATCTTTAATCCTTGGGAGTGACTTTTTTATTATTATTATTAGTTTCGGTTCTAATATAAACATTTTGTCTCATTCTTGTATCATATTAGTATTTTTAAAGTCCCAGCAATCATACCATTACGGCACTGAAGAAATTAATTTTGATAGTCTTTAGGTTAATGATTTTGATTTCTATAGGACTAAAATTTCTAATTGCTTAATTTAAAATTTAATGGTTGATTTCTAAACAGCCTAAGTAATGTTTTTTTGTGCAGTTGCTGTGTGTGGCAGTAAGCTGTGTATATCATTCACACATTTAATATAGCTTACTCTACTGAAATTTCATCCCTTTCAGAATTCAGATGTAGATGAAGCTTCTGGGCTGAAAAAGAATCCTGATGCAGAACTGCTTGATCCTGTAGTAAAGAAAGTGCAGGTAAAAATAATCCATATTAGCAATTTTAAGTCATGTTTGATGTCACTGTGTGTTCTAGTTGATAATGTTCAATTTTGCATACATCACTGTAAGTGGCAGTCATGGTATGTGTGCGTGTGTGGATGACTGGAAACTAATGAATTGTTTAAATTGAATTTATCAATATAATTATAGTAGAAAATTTGCATTTGTCATTAATTAAAATTTGTTTTATTAAAATTTCCCCAAGTTTTCTTTGTTTATAATATTTCATACTTTTTATGTTCTAAAATTTTCTCCAATTGAAATGCTTTATACATATAGTTCTTACCGTTCATCTTCAGAGCCCAGCTACGAATGTACCTGGTGGAAAGAATGTCGTTTTATTAGCAGCTCGAAATGTTCAAAAGCCACAGCTGTTCTTTGCAGAAAAAATCAACAATTCTGCAAAGGAACCATTTATTCCCATCATCAAAGAGAAACCCAATTCCATGAAGCCTTTATCCATTCTATTATGCCTTGACAATAATGGTCAAGAGTTGTAAGTTTTTATTTACTGTATTGTTTTCTAAATGCTTGTTTTATAGAAGAATGTATATATTTGGACCACCAAAACCTGTCACACATTGTTGTGGACCCAATCCACACTCATCAAATCTGTGTTGCCATTTTATGACCATTTATCACCCAATTTTTTTATCTCATAGTAAATGACAAAACATATTTCTACATACTATATTTAACATTCAACATTCGGTCATCATTTGTTGATCACCTGGCACACTGCGTTTAGTGTCATTTGACAAGCACTGTACCGTTATTATTGCCCTATTTATATATAAATGAAGTTAATACCTGTATGGTTATAATAACTATTTTAATGAAATTAACTCTGCTTTTATGTACTGTTATTGGGCCATGTAGCCATTTGAGATTAATATGATGTTGTTAACAGGTTTGAAAGATAATATTGGTGATGCATATTAATAGACTAAACCACTATTATTCTTCAATTATCAGAGAAATATGGAGGGTGCAGCGTAAGAGAGTTTAGAATAATTGCCTTAACACAATGATTATGGGAACATATTGAGGTCACATGATGGGATCAAGCCCGCATCCCTGGTCTCCTGAGGCATGCATCGTACGGCATTACAATTTTTTCAGATACATCACTTTCTTGCGATTTTGTTTTATAATAATTATGGTTTAAGGATTCTTAGTCATTAGTCACTGCAGAAAAAGTTCTCTGTTTTAATCTCTAAAACTTGATGATATTATTATGAGGCAGTTTGTGAAGGCTGTATTCATGTGGATTCATTTTTCAGCTATTCTCATCCCTATGAGTATGAGCTCCAACACTGGGCTCCAGCACAATCTCAGCTCCAGCCTGTTGACCCAATTCTTCCAAAGCCCATGGCAGAAACACCTTTGGTCATGGTAGATACAGAAGAGGAGTTAAACAATTTAGTCAGAGATCTTAGTGCTTGTACAGAATTTGCTGTTGACTTGGAGGTAAGTCACATGTAGTAAAGGATATTACACTCTTCCCAAGTGTACAGTTAATAGCTCTTCCCAAACCTGCTTGAGGATGATAAGGTGAGATGTGGACTGGTAATATTACCAGTCTATAGCGAATCATCAGCAGTCTAACTCCAAGGGTGGACAGTGCAGACGCTTGAGAGATATTACACATCTTCAACATTCACCAAAAACAATGTAACACTCGACGTGTCCAGTTCCTACCCCTCACAAGATGCTTCAGCCTCGACACAGAGCAGACAGCCAGCCAGACAGAGCGGCCACGAGCTTCCATGCTCTCGTCCCGCACTCGGCTTCTCGACTCTGCCCGCAAACTATACTATATAAATATAAAAAACACTAAACCCTTTGTGTCTAAACAACCAAATATGTACATGTAATCATACATGTCAATGTTGAAGATGTGTGATATCTTCAAGCATCTGTACTGTCCACTCCTGAAGTTAGACTGATGATGATTCGCTATCAACAGGTTATATTACCAGTCCCCACCTCACCTGACTATTCCTTTAGCAGGTTTGGGAAGAGGTATTAACTGTACACTCGGGAAGAGGTATTAATGGTAATCAGTGGACCAAGTAGAATTAACAGACCCATCTTATTATCTGCACCTATGCTAATGAGAATATGGAGCAAATATATTACTGACATAATATATACATGCTACAAATGTAATCCTAGACTCTTGCAGTTTAGCAACCTATGTTGTATTTAATTGAAAATATGATATACATTCCATGACTAGGTTTTCACGCAAAAATCTATAATAATAATAATTGCATTCACTTCAGGAGACGTGGACAGGTTGTCTGAAATAATACACACAGAATTAAAATTAATGAGATCTATTTGTGTGTCCAGCATGATTCGGCAAAACTGATCACTGTCAGAATTAAAACCTTTTAATTCAGGGTTTTAAAGGGGCCTTTGAAAAATACTCATTAAATTTACCATGCCCAAAAATTATTCTATTTATATTTTCTATTAACTTAAATTTGTTTACAATATTTATGGAAGGCAATATGAACTGAAATCCATTTTGAAAGTAATAGAGTAGTTATTTGGATGGTGACCGAGTAAAGCTTGTCACACAAGGGAATCCATCAGTGCAATAGTTTTGAAAACGGGCTCATTGTATTTATTATTCTGAAAATTCTTTTACTTAAGATTTCCTTTGAAAATGTTTAACTCTCAAGATTGTGTAAAACTGGAAACCACCAATGTGAACAGTCTTGGTGTTTACCTAGTGCCAAAGTTGCATTAAATCAACCATGTGCAAAATTGGGAGTTGAATGTAATTAATTTATGTGGTACGGCATTGTATTTTTAATGGCAGGTTCCTTGATCTTATTTTCTATTAATATATTAATTCTTTTCACAGCATCACTCATTTCGGTCATATATGGGACTTACCTGCCTAATGCAGATATCCACTAGGGATAAGGATTATATTGTGGATCCTCTTAAACTCAGAGGTAAACTTACCATCTTAAATGAAGTCTTCACAAACCCCAAAATTACAAAGGTAAGTCATTTAAAATGCATTATATTTTGTAATTTTTCTTGTTTACCTGCCTTTTATGTGGGGAGCCCTGTTGGCTCCCTGGAGCTATCCAGGCTGATATGCTAATGTCAGACTTTGGCATCAGTCGTGTGTATGGAGTTCTGTGGGCCTACCGGGGACCATGAGCCAGAACCTGGCCCCCCTCAGAGGCACAAGGAGCAATGGCCTATAGAAACCCTGTGTGGTTGGAAGCATTCTATGTCTGCCATCGACCGGGTTAGGCACCCAAAACAAACCCCTATTCTGGTGAAAATTGCTACAAAAAGCCGAACAAATGGATAGAACTCCCCAAACAGAAACAGGCAAACGAGTATGCCGTCACACATCGCCGCGCCGCAGTCTGCACATCTCCCCATCCCCGGGAGGGGGGAAGGGGGAGCCCCATACTCACACCGGCCATCCACACCCCAGTTCTGAGACTGGATATCAAAAACACGCAAAAAAAAATGCTTACTGGAGGGAGGGAGTGTTGCCAGAGAACCTCCGGGTCTCACCCAGCAAATGGCGTTTCATTACATTCAACACTGGTTTTCTGGGGGAAACCCCATCGGCTCCCCGGAACTACCTACCCAAAGACGAAAACAAGAGGGACCTAATCCGGGAGGCGGAAGTCGCTCAATCCCTGACGCGAAGTGGAGACAAAAGACCACAACTGCCAATCCTAGGCCACACAGGGCACGCCGCCGCCGAGACAAAGCATGCAGGTGGGACACTATCAACGAAGACACCTGATCACCAACAAATGCTGAGAGACTCGAAGCGGAACTGAACCAGCCCCGGGTTTCACCCAAAAAATGGCGTTTCATTACATTCAATGCTGGGTTTTTTCCTTGTGTATAATGCCAATCATGCACAATTCTACAATTGGATTTAATGACCTTTACAAGTGTACATATTTTCTTCTCTGCAAAGAGTGGTGTCTCCGCTTTAACAGTCTCCGTGGTGTAGTGGTAAGACACTCGCCTGGCGTTCCGCGAGCGCTATGTCATGGGTTCGTATCCTGGCCGGGGAGGATTTACTGGGCGCAATTCCTTAACTGTAGCCTCTGTTTAACGCAACAGTAAAATGTGTACTTGGATGAAAAACGATTCTTCGCGGCAGGGGATCGTATTCCAGGGACCTGCCCGAATTGCTACGCGTACTAGTGGCTGTACAAGAATGTAACAACTCTTGTATATATCTCAAAAAAAAAAAAAAAAAAAAAAAGATAATGCATATCATTCATTGCAAGCAGACTTTATTCTTTGCAAATAAGCATTTCCTTTTATTCAAGAGTTCTTTGTTCTCAACTGTGCCTATAGCGCCTGCGCAGGAATATCCCTGCAAAAAAAAAAAATGAGCTATCGTCTGTTCCGAGAATGTCAGAACATTTATATGTTCTGACATTCGAGTGCTTTCCTAGTTGCTCCTGAAGCTAATCTGTCTTCTCAAAAGAACATCTGATAGAAAGTTAACTGTACACCTGTTCAGTCCAGCCAGAATTGTAAGGATTTGCATAAATTATTTATAAATAGAACTTCAGAATAAAATTTGCAAAATTCATTTATATATATTCAATGTGGTATTTCCACTTTTATATACTCTTGATAGATTGCATTCCCAGTGCAGAAGAGTGGTTGATGGAGTGGCCTTCTTTCAGGTACTTCATGGGGGTGACCATGACATTTTGTGGCTACAGAGAGATTGTGGTGTGTATGTGGTTAATCTCTTCGACACCCATCAGGCAGCTATTGTTCTCGAGTACCCACACCGTTCATTAGCTGCTCTTCTCGCACGTTTCTGTCAAGTTGAAGCAAACAAAGTTTTTCAGAGGGCAGACTGGAGAATAAGGTCAGTTTTTGGTTAATATTTTTAATAAAACACTTTTTAACCTTTATCTTTCTAATTCTTTAGATTGTATGGTTAAAACATGAAACAAAATTAACTAAAGTTACTTTGTCTACATGCTTTTCACTCTATTATTAAATGATGTTTAAATAATGGAAGAATAATGTTTGCATCTATTAAGTGTTACACATCTTTCAAAATTTCAGGCCTCTTCCTAGTGACTTCATTAATTATGCAAGGCAAGACTCGCATTATTTGTTGTATATATATGATGTCATGAAAAATGAACTTATTTCATGGGGTAACCAACTCAACAATTTGATTTTTGCTGTTTATACCCGCTCTGCTGAAATCTGTATGAGGGTAAGGCTTTTCTTGTTTATAATTAATTGTCAAGTGCATATTTTGTTTATTATACAGGTATTATAAAATTTACTTTTCATCATTGCTTGTTTAATATAAAGATTTGCATAATACACACCTAGGTTTTGGATGAATAATTTTATAAGTGGCAAAAAATTTATTTTCATTTTTTCCCAGAGATATGAAAAGCCATTTGTTGGGCCAGAGAGTCACATGGAATTATATCGTCGCAGTCGTAAAGCTTTTAATTCAAGACAGATGTATGCATTGCGAGAGCTGTATCTGTGGCGTGACAGGGTTGCCCGTGAGCAAGACGAAAGCCCAGAGTAAGTTTTTCAGTACAGTATTTTGTTGACATTTTTTGTCAAGAGATGACCTTTACAGATTTTGTCTTGCTTCATATTGTGTACCATAATATGGTAGTATAATATAGTAGTACAATATGCTATTCATCATCATTGATTCCTAAGTTTCCATTTCTCTGGGGTGGGAGCAAGAACCATGGGGAAAATGGGAGAGCAAAATATGAAAAGAAGTTTACAAATACTCTCAATCCTATATTTATCATATCTTCTGCACTAACCAGCATCACAAAGAATCAGCCCCATCATATTTCAGCAAAGCATCCACATTCCACCATTACATAAGACCTGGTGTTGAGTGCTTTCAATGATTTCTCAAATAAAGTATTGTTACACAATCCCTCTTCACAAATTAGTACACCAAGAAACAAATGACACTACTTCTTGAACACTGTTCCACTCAATTATTGCACTCTTAATGTTGAGTTCAAATTCACTTTTATACACTCATCACCACTTGTCATTTTCTTGGTCAATGTGCCCAGATCATTCTCTCTCCTCAGTCTCACATTTTACCAAGCAACTTATCAACTGTTGGATTCCATGTTTTCCATTACATTTTTGAGCAAAGGCCATGTGGCTGCTGTTGCAAAGTAATATCCCATTTCTTCAAATATCACAGCCTGAGCCAGTGTGATATTTTGTCTCCTGCTGCAGCAAAGATCTTTCCCAAGTATTCCTGTCAGGCCATAACAGGTAGAATAGACACTCATATGGTGAAATAATAGAAAGATAATAGAAAGAAATAATAGAATAGATAATAGAAGAATAGATATAGAAGAAATAATAGAAAGAAGATTAACATCAGAGGTCCGCGGTTGTCCAACGTCATCCCAGCGACTATAAGAAATATTGCCGGAACAACCGTGGACATCTTCAAGAGAAAACTGGACTGTTTTCTAAGAAAAGTTCCGGATCAGCCGGGCTGTGGTGGGTATGTGGGCCTGCGGGCCGCTCCAAGCAACAGCCTGGTGGACCAAACTCTCACAAGTCAAGCCTGGCCTTGGGCCGGGCTTGGGGAGTAGAAGAACTCCCAGAACCCCATCAAGCAGGTATTTTCTTTCAGATATGAAGTAATATTATTATATAATATCAGATTTCATTCGCAGATTTCCTCTGCGAATGAAATTTCTTTGGGAGGCGGTTTCTTTGTGTTATGACTCACGCCTCACGTGTCGACAGGCCATCTCTTGCTCTCTCTCTTGACTCCACTTGGGCCCTGGGTCTTCAGTCTTCGACCCCATTTTGTCCTTTGTTGTTTTCAGATGCCATTGTGACTCATTTTTTGAAGGTGGAGTCCTTCAGTTGCCGTCCTATTTCTGATTTGTTGATGCTCCTGGAGGAGGGTTGTTTTGCTCTTCCCAGAGGGGTTGTGCCAGGGCTCGGGTGTCGGTAGTTCAAGGTGGGCCCTAGGTGACAGATTCTGTACCAGTGTTTCCTTCGGGGACTTCGTCTGGTCGGCGCTCAAAGCAAAAAAACCAGTTGGTTGGCAAAAAATTATAGACCAGTTGCCCTAACATCACACATAATAAAAGTTTTTGAAAGAGTGATTAGGGATCAAATTTCTAGTTTTATGGAAAATAATGAGCTACACAACCCAGGACAACATGGATTTAGAGCGGGCAGACCCTGTCTGTCACAGTTACTCAACCACTATGACAAAATCACAGATGCTCTAGAAGAGAAGCAAAATGCAGATGTTGTATACACAGACTTTGCAAAGGCATTCGACAAATGTGACCATGGAGTGATGGCACACAAAATGAGGTCAATGGGAATAACTGGTAAAGTAGGACGCTGGGTACTCAATTTCCTGTCGAATAGAACACAGAGTAACAGTCAATCAAATAAAATCAAGTCCAAGCGCAGTTAAAAGCTCTGTACCTCAGGGTACAGTCCTTGCACCACTGCTGTTCCTTATTCTCATATCGGATACAGACAAAAATACAAATGACAGCTTCGTGTCATCCTTTGCATATGACACACAAATCGGCATGAAAATTAGCTCTGCTCAAGACATTGACAAATCACACGCAGATATCAACAAAGTTTTCAATTTGGGCAGTAGAAAATAACACGATGTTTAACATTGATAAATTCCAGGTACTGTACTCAGATACGACAAAAATGAGGATCTGAAACATAATACAGGGTACAAAACACAATCAAATCTGCCTATAGTAGGAAAACAGCATGTCAAGGATTTGGGAATAATGATGTCCGACGATCTAACGTTTAGGGAGCATAACCAAGAAAATATTGCATCAGCCAGAAAAATGATAGGATGGATTACGAGAATTTTCAAATCCAGGGATCCCATCACAATGGTTGTACTCATCAAGTCACTTGTATTGTCCCATCTTGAGTACTGCTCAGTACTCGCTTTCCCTTTGAGAGCAGGAAAGATTCCTGAAATAGAAGGAATACAGAGAACATATACGACACGCATAGACGCGATAAAGCACCTAAATTATTGGGATCGTCTCAAAGCTCTCCAAATGCACTCACTAGAAAGGAGACGAGAGATACCAAATAATGTACACGTGGGAAGTACTGGAGAGCCAGGTCCCTAATCTACACCTTAAAATAACAACGTACTGAAGTGAACGATATGGAAGAAAATGCAGAATAGAACCAGTGAAGAGCAGTCAATCAGAGAACACTGTATAAACATCAGAGGTCCGCGGTTGTTCAACGTCCTCCCAGCGACTATAAGAAATGTTGCCGGAACAACCGTGGACATCTTCAAGACTGTTTTGTAAAAGAAGTTCCGAACCTACCAGGCTGTGGTGGGTATGTGGGCCTGCGGGCCGCTCCAAGCAACAACCTGGTGGACCAAACTCTCACAAATCAAGCCTCTCCTTGGGCCGGGCTTGGAGAAGTAGAAGAACTCCCAGAACCCCATCAAGCAGGTATCAAGCAGGAGCTCACTCTGCTCGAAGGTCAGCTTCTCAAGGGTTGCATCGTCCCTTTCGTGGGTCGCTCCATTGACGGGGCAATTGGTGGGGGGGAATGGCTGGCTCTGTTTGCCCATGTTTTGTTTCATGATTTGTTGGCATTCAGGTGATGTTTTCCAGCCTTCGGTGGGATTGGACGCCTCCTCCTCCTCCTCCAGGGGGTATCGAAGCTGGTGGTGGTTCTGCTTGTCTGCTCGCCAGGGATTTGGTTCTTTCCTGGCTCGCCAGGCTCGGGTTCCTGGTGAACTATGCGACAGTATGAAGTCTCTTGGCATTCTTTTCACCATTTCCTTTCCCTTCGTAGGTTGTCATCCATTTCTGACCATATTGTTTTTGTCCTTTTTCTCTTGGCTTTTTAAAGACTTGCATTTTATGCCGAATTCTGTCGCTTCTTACCGTGTGGCGCTAGGCGGAGCTTTTCCAGCTTGCATTCAGGGTGGTCGTTACCACCCTGGTCGGGGGGGGGAGGGGGGATGAGGGAGCCGAGCGGACAGCACGCGGGACACGTGATCCTGTGGTTCCGGGTTCGATCCCAGCCGCCGGCAAGAAATGATGGGCAGTTTCTTTTACCCTATGCCCCTGTTACCTAAAAAAAATTGTATCAATTCCCCTTGTCACCTGTTCCACAAAACAATTTCTCATTCTTTCTCCTGTATGTGTAATAACACTCACCAGATTAGCATTCATAAATAAACATCTCATTTTATACATCCCACTTAACATTAAGTGCATAGAGGGGGAAGGGGGATATTTTTTGTCGTTTAAAATCTTCATTAGTGTATTTCTTGTATAGCATTGAGAGAGACTCGCTAATAAGGGACTAGGGATGCCTCCCTTGATCTGCTGTTATCGAAACCACTAGGTAAAGAATGAAAGTTTACTCTCAGGATGTTCACTTCATCATTAATCTACAAGTCTTTACTATTTGTCCTTACACTAGTCTCTCTCTCTAATTATTTCTTTTATATAGAAAATACATTTGATAAATGCTACTTGTTTTGTAAAATTATGGTGTATGCTACTGTATTAACAAGTTACAATGAAGTATAAAAAGCTTTGACTGTATCTCCACAGGTATGTGCTCCCGAAACATATGCTGCTGCAGATAACAGAGGTTATACCCAAGGAGATGCAGGGGGTGTTGGCATGTTGTAACCCGATCCCTCCGCTAGTCAAAACTGAATTACTCACCATACATACAATCATCAGAGAAGCTCTGGTGCAACCACTCATTGATGTAAGCTATTATCCTGTCTTGAAAATATTTTGTTTTAATAATAATAATAATAATAATAATATATATATATATATATATATATATATATATATATATATATATATATATATATATATATATATATATTTATATATATATATATATATATACATATATATACATATATATATAATATTATGTATGTATTATTAGTCACATATGTTTCATACTGTTATGTATTAATACATCTTTTCTGAGGGGAAGCCTCTTCTGCTCCCCAGAGCTTATCCAGGCTGATATGCTAATGTCAGACTTTGGCATCAGTCATGTGTATGGAGGTCTGTGGGGCTATCGGGGACCACAAGCCAGAACCTGGCCCCCCTCTGAGAGGCATGGGGGAGCAATGGCCTATAGAAACCCCGTGTGGTTGGAAGCATTCCGTGTCTGCCATCGACTGGGTCAAGCACCCTGAAAGGTAAGCGTCCCAAAACAAACCCCTATTCTGGTGAAAATTGCTACCAAAAGCAAAACAAGTGGATAAAAAACTCTCCAAAGAGAAATGAGCAAATGAGCATGACGTCACACGTCGCCGAGCTGCCATCTGCGCAGCTCCCCCTTACCCGGGAGGAGGAAGGGGGAGGCCCAGACCCCTGCACTGGCTATCCACCCTTCAGTTATAAGGCTGATGCTTGCGGCTGAGGTCGTGTGCTATGGCTCCAGTAGTTGTTTCAGCACTGTACCTAATGTGTGGTGACTGTCTTCTAGGTGGTGCGTGAGTCGGGAGTGATTCTCCAGTACTCGGGCTGGAGCAAATGAGAAGTTCCGGACCAACCGGGCTGTGGTGGGTATGTGTGCTTGCGGGCCGCTCCAAGCAACAACCTGGTGGACCAAACTCTCACAAGTCGAGCCTGGCCTCGGACTGGGCTTGGGGAGTAGAAAAACTCCCAAAACCCCATCAAGTTTCAAGTTTTCAAGCAGGTATCAAGCAGGGCTGCATGCACCTAGTTTCCTTCCCTAGGTGCCCTGTAAGTACTGCATTTGGGGAATGGTACCACCTTCCACAAGTTCCTTGGGTTCTGCCTCTGCTAAGCCATTTACTGCTTGGTTTTCGGCCACCCTTTGTGTGCTGGGGTGTTCCGTCTCCCTTGTTTGCCTTTGAGTAGGGGGCATTTTGCATTGGTAGGGGCACAGGCTACTGCGCAGCTTGTTTTCACCAATCATAGCGGCCGGCTCTGTTCCGCCTGGGTCCGTTGTCCTCTTGCAGGGTTTTCTTTTTATTTTTATTCGTCTGCCTTGGTTCTTGTCACCCTGTTTACTTAACACTTTCGCGGCCGCTGGAGTTATACTGGGAGTGATCTGGGAGTGCGCCGTTCGTTTCGGGCGACCGCACGGCGACACTAAAATGTTTATAATCTTTTCGGTCTGCTCACCTTAATATTCCATGTATGTATTTAAATTTGGTATCAATTTGTTCGCAAGAGAATGCTCTAGAGGAATATATATGTAAAATGTCACCAAACCCGACATGAGACCCGCACCAAATAAAAAACTATGGCAATCGTTAGCCGTGAGCGTCAAACCGCGCTGAAATGTTTATGATCTTTTCATGTTTATCAATCCCAGAATTGTGCTACGTCGTTAATTTTGGTATCACTGTGACTGCAATAAAATTCCCTTCACGGACATATGCATATAAATGTAGAATCATGATCGCGGTCCACCTGCAAGAGTGTGGGAAGTGGCTGAAGTGTTACCTCTTAAGGCACACCCAACGGCAGATGGGCGAAGCACCTTTTGGAAAGTGTATATTCTTTTCACTGTCCTGACCTTAATTTTCGATGTACGTACTTAAATTTTGTACCAATATGTTCGCAATAGAATGTTCTAGAAGAACATATATATAAAATGTCACACAAGGATGCGTTTGACCTGCACCAAATAAAGAAACTTCGTCGATTACACTCGTTGGGTCAACATTTTACAATAGTTTTACCACGAAGATACAAGCGAACTCTGTTCTCCCAAATAAGCTATGTGACTATTAGAGAAAACGACAATTAAATGGCAAACATGCTTAAATTATCCCCAAGTCGATCGGATAAGAATTGGATTTTATAGAAATTATTTTCTGGGGGGAGCCCCGTCGGCTCCCCGGAGCTTTACCGGCTGATATGCTAATGTCAGACTTTGGCATCAGTCATGTGTATGGAGTTCTAGGGCCTACCGGGGACCACGAGCCAGAACCTGGCCCCCTCAGAGAGGCAAGGGGAGCAATGGCCTATAGAAACCCCCGTGTGGTTGGAAGCATTCTATGTCTGCCATCGACCGGGTCAAGCATCCAGAAAGGTAAGCATTCCAAAACAAACCCCTATTCTGGTGAAAATTGCTACCTAAGCCGAACTAGTGAATAGAACTCTTCAACAGAAAACACGGAAACTAGTATGACGTCATACGTCACCGCGCCGCTGTCTGCGCAGCTCCCCCCTCCCCGGGAGGGGGAAGGGGGAGCCCCAGACCTCCCACGCCGGCTATCCACCCATCAGTTCTTCGGCTGATGCTATAGGCAATGGTTATGTGCTCCGGCTCCAGTGGTTGTTTCAGCACTGTACCTAGAGTGTGGTGTCTGTTTTCTAGGTGGTGCGTGAGCCGGGTGTGATTCTTCAGTACTCGGGCTGCATGCGCCTAGGGTTCCCTTCCCTAGGTGCCCTGTAAGTACTGCCCTTGGGGCTTGGGGCCACCTTCCACAAGTTCCTTGGGTCCTGCCCCTGCTTGGCCGTTTACCGCTTGGTTTTCGGCCGCTCTTTGTGTGCTCGGGTGTTCTGTCTCCCTTGTTCGCCTTAGAGTAAGGGGCAGTGTTTGCACTGGTGGGGCGCGGGGTACTGTGCAGCTTGTCTTTACCAATCATAGCGGCCGGCTCTGTTCCGCTTGGGTACGCTGTCCTCTTGCGGGGTTTTCTTTTTCTTTTGTTTATATACCTGGTGGGGGGGTCTGCCTTCGTTCTTGCCCCTTGTGTCCCTTGTGTTCTGAGTATTTCTGGTGGTACCCCCTGCTAGGTCCCCGTGAGTGTACACGTCCCGGGGGTTCAGCTCTTAGAAAGTTGTTTGGTAGCTTGGGTGCCGGTTAGCAGTACCCTGCCTGGGATTACCTGAGCGCGAGTCCTCTTAAAGTAAACGCTCGGGACCCTGGGAAACCCCTGGGGGCGCGCGGGTCCGATGGATGTGACCCCAGAGCCCCCCCCTCGCTTCCAGCGAGTTTGAGGGTTGCTCTCACCTTTTGTCTCTGGGTGACTCTCTGTTTTGCCTCCGTCTGCTGCCTGTGGGGTCGGTGACACCTTCGACCCGGTGTCCTGCGAGTTTGGTTGCTCGTTGTGGCTCGGTTACCCAGTTGTGCTAACAAAGCGGGTGCGGGCAGCAGGGGCGTTGCACTTGAGCCTTGGTGGTGGCAACGTTCTCGTGGTTTCCTCCCCGGGAGCCCCGGGGCTGCCCCGTTGTATTTCGTTTTGGGACTTGGGGGTGTTGGTTGCTTCGGTTCCATCCACGCCCCCTTGTCTTTCCCCTGGTTCACCCTTCCTGCCTGCATCCGGTTCCTTACCGTCTGTAGGTTCAGGGCGGGGTGTTTGGTGGTGTTGAGACTCGGGCAGTCTCGGGGAATTCCCCTTCCGGGGTAGTGACGGGGGCATTTGGGCCTGTTCCTCCAGCCGTGTTGTATGAGTCTGCCAGTGGGCTCCCTTCCTTAGTGTTTTCACGGCTGCCCCGGTTTTCTGGTACGGCCGGGGCTTTGGGGGAACGGCTCGGCCCCGGGGCCTGTCGTGTAGGTTCCCGGGGCTGGGGAGGGGCTGACTTGGGGGGGCCTTGGCCCCGTTAGACCCCGTGGGGGGTTTTATCCCCCTCTAGGCGGGGCTTGTGGTTACGCGGAGTGGGGTCTTTCCTCCCCACTCGCCGTACGTGCTGTTGGACGTCGGCCCCTCCCCGGGCTCGGTTCCTTGGCCTTTGAGTCGGTTGGTTCCGTCCTGTGGGTGGATGTTTCCTCCCCCGCTTTTTGGGACGGTGTTTTTGTCATGTTTCCCCGTTCGATGGGGTTCTGCGTGACTTTTGATCTCGGGTGCGCCTGCGCCTTCGTGTGCCTTCGGGACTAGTGTTGGCTTCTGTGTTCTCGAGGGTACGGGAAGGTTTTTCGCTACTTCCCGCATTATTGGAACGTCTGTCGGCTCCTAGTACTTGTCGCCCTGTTGGGCTACTTGTCGCCCTGTTGGGCTACTTGTCGCCCTGTTGGGCTACTTGTCGCCCGGTTGGGCTACTTGTCGGCCGTTTGGGCTACTTGTCGCCCGTTTGGGCTACTTGTCGCCCGTTTGGGTTCCCTTTTTTTGGGCTCTTTGCTTCTTTGGCCGGTTTTATTGTTCCTGCTTCCTCTTTTGGCTCTTTTTCTCGTGCAATAGTCCTGGCTGGCGCCTTCCCGCAGGGAGGGTGTGCGGTTCGGCCAGCGTGTTATGCGCATGCGCCGTGGAGTTTGTTTTGGTCTGGGCGATGGTTCAGTGCTGGGGTTTTGCGCCCTTTTTTGCTACAGTGCTTCGCCTCTCGTTCTTCTCCCTGGCTGCGGTATGTGCCCCTTTGCGCCAGGGGTGTCCTGGTTCCCAGTTGTGGGGAGGACACCGCGGTTTTCTGTGTCATGGGTGTGGACCGCCTCCTTCGCCTCTCCCTGTTCTCCTGCGGGTCCGGCTCTGGCGTCTTCACCTGGCGGTGCTCCCAAGTTCTTCTGGGCACGGTTGAGTCGTGTCAAGTTCGAGCCACCATTCGCCAGGTGAGTTTCTGCGGTCTGGCGTCTTTTGGCCGGGCGCTGGATGCGGCGGTGTTCATATACCTGTCTTTATTTAGGTATAATTTTGTACGACTGAGACCGTTCGCACACCAGTGACTGTCCCTTTATCACCCCTTCCTGTCCCCCTCATGTGCATGTCCAACCCATGCTGGAGTCGTTCAGGGGACCCTCCTTTTTTAATGTTGTGAGGTGTGGGGGTTGTAGGGTTGGTTCTGTACTCACCTGGTGAGGCTCCTGGCTGTGCTTGCAGGATTTGAGCTCTGGCTCTTGGGTCCCGCCTATCTGGTAGAACTTGCGGGATAGTACCAGTGGAGTGCAGTGGTGCTATTGGCACTTTTGGGGAACACTGTATTACCATCAGTGGTCTGTGCTTGTTACACGACCTACTTGCGAGCATAAGCCTTCTTGCTGGTTCGTCCGTGGACTTCCAGGGCGCACTGGCCTGTTTTCGTATGGCAGTTCCGGCCCGTCCTGGTTGTGGGGGTATGTGGGCCGGTGGACTGCTCCTAGCAGCTGCCTGGTGGGCCATCCTCTGGCCGGTCTGGCCTGACCTTGGGCCGGGCTTGAGGTGTAAAAGAGCTCCCAGTACCTCATCCAGCAGGTATCGAGCGGGGTTTCTCCGCCGTCGGTCGCCTGGTGCAGGTTTCTGGGCCTGCAGGGTTTTGTCGTGTCTCCGTTGGCCCTGTCTGGGGTCTGCCTGCTCCGTTCTCTGCCTTTGCAGAGGGGAGTTGCTATTTACATGTTGCATGTTGCAGTGGTGCCTGTTGCTGCTGCTGCTGCACGTGAGCATTGGTACCGTGTTTCACGGTGGCGTGTCCTTGTTCCTGTGTCCGGTTGTGGAGTGGCGCTTTGCTGCCGTTTTGTGCCTGGGGATTGCGTGGGGTTTTTGTCCCTGCCTGATTGTCCACCCCTGGTTGTTCTCCTGGTTTTTTTTTTTTTTGTGCTTCTGCTCTTTCTTCCTGCCTCTTCTGCAGCAGGAATGTTCTGCGTGTGTTCTTAGGCGTTGGTCAGCCTGTGTCCTGTGATGTGCTTCTTTGTCTCGGTCTGTTGCAGTTGTTCGTGCCCCTTGGTTCGGGTCCTGTTCTGGCGGCGACCCTTCCGCCTTCTTTGGTTTTCCTAGCTTGCCCTGCCGGTTGTTGTTGTTTTATTTTTTTGGGGGGGTTCTTGCGATGTCTCGCGTCGGACCCGTCGTTTCTGAACTCCTGGCGGGCTTGCATGCTTCGGAGTTTTTCTGTTCGGCAGACGTTCCATCTCCTTGTGCCGCCTGGGTTTCGGTGGTCGCGCCCGAGATCTTCTCGCGGCTCCGCCTTTTTCCTGGGCTCGGGGGGGCCTTGTCGGGGCTGCTTATGTTCTGCCTCGTGGTCTCGCCTCCGGTTGGTGGTCGGGTGGCTTCGTGGTAGGTGTCCCACCTGCGTGCTTTCTTGGCGGCAGTATGGGGTATTTTGGCGGTCCTTCCTTTTCCTGTCCCTTCTTCGGTGGGTCCTTCTTGTTGGCTTGGTTTACTCTCGGCTTGGTTTTCTAGTGGGGGTTGGGGGCCGTCGTCTTGCCACATACTGTCGCCTCTTTTCGTGCGGCGCAGGCGGAGCCGCTTCAGCTTGCTTTCGGTCTTGGTGTTGCTTCTGCACCGTTAGTCAGCTGTCTTGTGCGTCATTTCACCTCCGGCCTGTTCGTGCGCCGCTTGCACCATCCTGGTCTCTGGTCAGCGTGCTCTGTCTTCTCCTCGGTTGGTAGTGCCCCTTCGGTTCCGGTGTGTTTTTTCGTCGGCTCTTTCCTTTGGGCCTTTGCCTCTGGGGGTCGGTTCGCTGTGTTTTCTTGCTCCTTCGGTTTTAGCGTTTTGGTTGTTTGATGGCAGCAGTCTCCATCTTTTCTGGCGCGGGGTGGGGCTGCTGCATTCTGGAGGGGTCCAGGGTTTGTTGGTGCTTTGTTGGTCGGGCCGGGGGTGTGTCGTTTTTGTGTTCAGTGGCGGCCCTCTGCTGTTGTTTGCGTGCCACGGCGTTTGGGTCCGGAGCGCGTTTTGCGTTGATCCGGTTCTGTTCTTCCCGGTTCGCGGGTGATGGTGTCCCGGGTGGTCAGCCGTGTTCTTGCGGCTAAGCTGCCTGTGTTCTTCCCTCATGCCTGTGGCGTTCGTGGCTTCGCTGCTCTCGCTGCCGTCTGGGCGACGTGGCCTTGCAGTCTTTCGGGCATGGATTTTTGGTGTTCGTGCAGGGGCCTTGCTGCTCGTGGTTCTCGTGTTGTTCCCGGGATTTTCGGGGCTGTGGCGCCTTGGGTTGGCGTTTGCTGCCGGTTGTCTCGCCTCCTTGGGGGGTGCGTGGTGTCCGCCTCCCGGTTTTGTCCCTTTGACCTTCCTCTGTGGGTAGTTAGCTCCGGGGAGCCGACGGGGCTCCCCCCAGAAAACCAGCGTTGAATGTAATGAAACGCCATTTTCTGGGTGAGACCCGGAGGCTCCCCGGCAACCCTCCCTCCCTCCGGTCGGCGTTTTTCGCGTGTTTTGACATCCAGCCTCAGAACTGATGGGTGGATAGCCGGCGTGGGAGGTCTGGGGCTCCCCCTTCCCCCTCCCGGGGAGGGGGGAGCTGCGCAGACAGCGGCGCGGTGACGTATGACGTCATACTAGTTTCCGTGTTTTCTGTTGAAGAGTTCTATTCACTAGTTCGGCTTAGGTAGCAATTTTCACCAGAATAGGGGTTTGTTTTGGAATGCTTACCTTTCTGGATGCTTGACCCGGTCGATGGCAGACATAGAATGCTTCCAACCACACGGGGGTTTCTATAGGCCATTGCTCCCCTTGCCTCTCTGAGGGGGCCAGGTTCTGGCTCGTGGTCCCCGGTAGGCCCTAGAACTCCATACACATGACTGATGCCAAAGTCTGACATTAGCATATCAGCCGGTAAAGCTCCGGGGAGCCTCCGGGTCTCACCCAGAAAATGGCGTTTCATTACATTCAACGCTGGTTTTTTTAGTTGCCATCATGCTTGTGGAATTCTTTGGTTTGCAAAGGTCCTCACTTCGAAATAAAAAACACTTCATTTATTTTGAGACGTTTTTCTTGTGATGTGTGAATGGTTTACATGTTTGTGACTGGCTTTTGCCAAACCATTGTAGGCAGGGTTCTCGTCTCTGTATAGATTCAGTCTCGTATTCAAATGAATTGGTCTTTCCTCTTAACACTTTCTTGAGCTAGTGTCTTGGGGTCGAATTCTGTGCCTGGGCTTTTGGATTGTTCATGGACATTTTAGGCATGTTCAGTCATGACATTATGGTATGTGTGTGTTTGTGGTTCATTTGGGCCCTCTTGCCCTCACTGGGTCTCACTTGGTAGTGTCAGATGACTATTTTTCTCATGTGTAGTAGACATGGTTAGGGTCCAGAATGCTAAAAACATACTTCTCAGTCTGATGATTGGGCTACTTCTCAGATTGTTATTTTATTTTAGTGCACTTGATTGTTTTAGCTAACTTGGTTTCTTGAATCAGAGAGACAAGGAGTCTCCTTGTCAAATAAAGCCTGGCCTCGGCCGGGTTTGGAGAGTAGAACTACTCTCGGAATACCATCAAGCAGGTATCCTTGGGATAGTCAGTTTGCTTGGTGTCGTAGGAGGTCCCATATCGTCAGCATTGGCCCAATTTGCTTGATTCAACTACCATTTCATTAGAGTAGTCAAAGGGTTAAACAAAATTACAAATGAAGTATCTGAAGTTACTCCGGATAATTTTTTTCAATCTTTAGAAACTTATTTTAGTCAGAATTTTTATGGCAGTGGTTTTACAATATACAAGACAATTACTATTTACTCTAATATATTGACCCAGTTTTTCCTCAGCTGGCATCCTATTAGCATTCTACTTTGGGTTGAAAAATTGATGCGTTCCTTGGGATATCCAAATATCCAAGTTTCACTTTGCATTAACCTGACAGTTCAAATTATTAAAGAAAACTAAAGACCTTGTTAAACCCTCACATTCACCCCTGTATAATACAGTATTCATTTTATTGGCAAAATTTCAAAACATTTTCTGAAAATCATATGTAGTTCTTTTTCTTTGGGATTTTTCAGAATCAGCTGTTATGCAAGAAACCAGAACATTCAAAAAGAACTACGAAATTCATGAGTCCGCATGAAAGATATACCGCTTACATAAAGATGAAACCACTTATAGATGGAGAGAAGAAGAAGAAAGAGGGACAGTCTGCAGATACTGACCGGGTCAATAAGGTAAGTGTCTTCATTCTGCATGCACTAGAATGTGTATAGTGTAATAATAGGAGGCCAATTTTTTTGTAATAGAGCTTTTATAATGGTCTTCATTACCCAACATTATGTTTATCTGAAATATCTAATTAATGATGTTACTGTACTGTCAGCAGACTAACTAGAGATACACAACAATTCAGTGCAGTGAATGAAGGTTTGAAAGGAACATTAATGTGGCATGTGATTGATATGGGTTGTGAGACCTGAGTGGTTTTGAGGAAATATGGTAGCTTGTCATTCATATGTTTTATTAATACGGCAAACCGAAGTAAAGGAAGCATAGTTTCTTAAAAGAGAAAGGTGATTGAATATATAGAAATAGATTCTTATGAGTGTGAAGAGCATGAAACAGGATTGCATTATGTCAGATCCTGGAGATGTTTTTACTGTGATTAACTCTTCATTAATTATGCTTTGCCTACTATTTTAAAATAGTGCAATCTATATATCCTGAGGGGGAGCCCCTACGGCTCCCTGGAACATATCGGGCTAATGTATTTTATATTAGACTGGGACATTAGCTCATTAGCTATGGAGTTCAGACCTACCCTGGAAAACCCTGTGGTTGGGTGTTTTCCTTATCTACCATCGACTGGGGTTAGGTACCCAGAACAACCTGTCCTCTTAAACAGAACGTCGCTTTTGGCCGTTTGCCCGTATGGCCGAATATGAACGTAATTTGAAAATGAAAATAAATTTGGGATTTTTTTTTTCAACGACAGTAAGTTTAGGGTCCTCTGATAGGTTAGGTGGGCAGGAAATTCTCATAAAGTTTCAAAACGGTATGAAAAACGTTAATGAAAAGTTTCCTTTTCTAAACTTGCTGAGTAAGCCGGACGACTCAAACAGAAAACGGAACAGTACGTCACTTTTGTGAGTCAATTTCATTTCAAATTACATCCAAATTTGGCCATAGTGCGCATACGAGCGAAAAGTGACGTTATTTTTAAGAGGACGGGTTGCCCAGAAAGGTAGGCATAACAAAACAAACCCCACATGGTAAGAAACTAACAACAAAAACCGAACAGAGAGGTAGAACTCCCTTCAATCCCAAGGAAACAAGCAAACGTAACGCACTACTGCCGTGCCGCTCGTCCGCGCAATCCACCCCTCCCTGAGAGGGGGAGGAGGGCCCCGGACCTCACCGTGCCGGTCGCATAGCACTTCAGTTCGTAAGCTTATGTCAACCGGGACAGACATTTCTCTGGCCTCAGTTTCCTAGGCGGTGTTTGCCTCCATGGCGCTCACAGCTGTGTTTTTCTGTTGTGTGATGGCCAGGTGTTCCTCACCAGTACCGGGGCTGTATGCGCTTAGGGATTTCCTTCCCTAAGCGCCCTGTGTGTACTGTCCCTGCGTGTCAGGGTAATCTTCCCTGGGGCGTTCGGGACCCATTCCCGTAGGGATTCTTGCTGCTCGGCATTTGCCTTGCCCTTGGGGCCAGCTAGGGGTTGGGGCGTCAAGGTGTTGCACGACCTGCTACCTACGCGGCGACCGGTTCCTGTTGCCTCTGGTGACGGTGTACTTTTGTGTTTTTTTTTTTTTTCTTTAATTTTCTTTTTATTTTCATTTGCCTGGTGGGGGTTTGCCTAGTGTGTTTCTATAGTTCGACTGGTGTTGTTTGGTGGCCCTCTACTAGGCACCTGTGATTGTACACGTCACAGGGTTTTTCAGTGTTTGCATCTATCCCTTGTTTGTTTTGGGTGTTAACCAGTTAGCGACACCTTGCCCAGGCTTCCTGTAGTCGTCACCCTATGGGTCCTGGAAAACCCTGTCGGGGGTCAATGGACCAGTGGATGTGTCTTCCGAGTTCCAACCCGTCTTGTGTGAGTTCGTTGGTTGATGTTCCCTTTTCTCAGGGTGACAGTCGCCTCTTTTTACCTCTGTCATGCTGCCTGTTGGGTCACTGACACCTTGACCCGGAGTCTTAAGAGATGTGTTCTCTGCTTGTTCTCCAGTACTCTTCTGATGTCCTTACTGTTAGGAGTACAGGCGGCATCCGCGTTGCATGCTTGGTTTAGGTTGCTGCAACGCGCTAGGTTAGTTTTCCACACCAGGATGCTCCGGGGCTGCCCCTTTTTGGTTAGGTGTTTTTCACCTCTTTCCCCCTCCCTGTTCCCAGCTCCTGACCGTCTGCGGGTTTTGGGGTCGGGGATGGGTTAGTTGGTGCCGAGACTCGGGCGGCTTCGGTGGCTGCCCCGTTTGGGTTGGGGGTGGAGGTTTTCGAGCCTGTTCCTCCTTACGAGGCTTCTGGGTTTTACCAGCGGCCGTTTCTTTGCTGCCTTTCCCCTAGACTCTTCCTTTTCTTTAAGGGCAGAGGGCATGGAGGACAGCTTTGCCCCGAGGCCTCTGTTGCGGGTTCCCGGGGCTGTGGGGAATGCACACTAGCAGTTCTGGGGCTGTTTATCCCTGCCTGGGTTTTCTGCTTCTGGGCGGGGTTTTTCATCCCTCTCGTCTGCTTACTTCCCACATTTGCTGGTGTGTTTTTGGATCTCTTGCGTTGATCGCGACTCCTTTGTTCTGGTGGCCATTTTCTTTCTGCAGGTTGCTTTCCCGCCTGGCCACTGAGGCAGTGCTGCGGTTTGTTTACCTGTGCCTGGGTGTGCGATGTCGCGTTTTGGGAGTTTTTCACCTCCTTCAGGGGTTTTTATCCTCCTGTTGCCATTTCTTTGCTTTTTCTGGGATATTCTGCCCTTCTGTTTTTCTGGGAATACGTGGGAATTGGTTTTTACACCAGTTTTTGCGTTTTCAGTCTGTTTGGGTCTGGGCCCTGGGGTTTGGGTTCAGTGTCCCTGTCTGTTTATGCTTGCTCCCACACTTTGTGTCCCTCGGTTTTCAGTCTGTTTTGGCTGTTTCATTGGGGGTTCTGTCTGGATGCTGTACTTTGCCCTTTCTGTCAGGCCGGCACTCGGATGGTAATCTTGGGCATAGCATTTTACCAAATCACCCCACCGAGTGCCGGCGGTGGGGTGGTTCAAATAGCTTCGGCTATCACCTCATTATGTTCGGTCGTGATGGTCAAGTGGATTAAGGCGTCTTGTACATACCAGTTGCGTTGCTCCTGGGAGTATGGGTTCGAGTCACTTCTGGGGTGTGAGTTTTCAGTTGCATATTGTCCTGGGGACCATTCAGGCTTGTTCGCATTTGTGTTCCTCACGTGTGCCCCAAAGAATGAGGTGATTTGGTAAAATGCTATGCCCAAGATTACCATCGAGTGCCGGCGGTGGGGTGGTTCAAATAGCTTCGGCTATCACCTCATTATGTCCGGTCGTGATGGTCAAGTGGATTAAGGCGTCTTGTACATACCAGTTGCGTTGCTCCTGGGAGTATGGGTTCGAGTCACTTCTGGGGTGTGAGTTTTCAGTTGCATATTGTCCTGGGGACCATTCAGGCTTGTTCGCATATATATATATATATATATATATATATATATATATATATATATATATATATATATATATATATATATATATATCTGGCTACTAGGTACGACATATATATATATATATATATATATATATATATATATATATATATATATATATATATATATATATATATATATATATTTATTTATTTATTTTTTATTTTATACATGTTCTTTTGGAAGGGGCTCTGATCCGTTCGCTGTTGACGGGGCGCTTTGGGGGCGGCTTGCTCTGTTGGATCCCACTTGGTCCCGCAGTTCGTGGGCATTTTTGGTTGTCTTCCGGCCTCTGGTAGCGTTGGGTTGCTCCTCCCCCTTTGGGGGGTTCGGGGCTGGCGGGGTTGGCTTCTTTCCCTGCACTTCATCGTGTCATCTTAGAATGGGTGCACTTGGACGTGGTCGATCTACCCCATCCTTCCAGGGTTTCCGCCTGTTCCATTGCCGACACGGGACTTTGCTGATCTGCAGTTCTTCTGGACTTGTTCTGACAGCTTATGTACAAAGTGGCACAACTGAATGGTTGAGAGGTTGAGTATTGATTTTAACCAATATTGTTATGTAATTATTGTATAAATCTTTCAGGTAAGAGAACACTTCATGTCATTGACGAATAATACAGTTGATACGGAATCTGAAATGGAAACCAACCACAGAGTTGAAGAAGAGAGGACAACTAATGAAAGTGTGTCCATGCAATTACAAGAACAAAACTCTCAACAGCAGTTAGAGGACACTTCACAGCAAGAAAAGACTGAAAGTAAAACAAAGAAAAAATGTCCTCCAAAGTCTTTTATTCTTAGTGAAGAGGTAAGCACCTGTTATTATACTGTTGTACAGTATAATATTGTATTCTTACGATTATTTGTAGTAACTTGCAAACCTGCAAACCTCTTCTTTTAACCTATTGATCCTATAATGTGTTTTTTTTGTGTGTGTCATTTACTGGTACAGTATGTGCTTCATTTCACTGTAAAGTTGGAAAAATAAAATATATGATTACGAGGTATTCCCAGTTAACACTTTCGCTCGGGGATGACACAGCATTGCGTCATCCGTTTACTGTCGGTAATGCCGGGGATGACGCAGCATTGCGTCATCCACTTTAAAAATTCGCCAAAAATCAGGTTTTTATCCGATTTTTTTGGGACTGGTTTTAAAATGTGCGCCGATGTCTTCCCATTTTCTTTGTTGAGCCTTGTGGCCCTCAGGCGGCTTGGCACACGCCGTGGGCCCATTGTTTTCGCTCCACTGTTGTGACCAATGTCGCCTCCCCTCGCATCTCAAACGTGTGAACATTTCGGCTATTTCCCGTGGCTATATTTCTTACAGCGGCTTTAGAAACTATCTACGCTTACTCCACGATGGATAGTAATCATGAACACGGCCCTTCCAGGAAGAAAATTGCGCGCGTGTGTGTGTGCGGTGTGTGTGCGCGCGCGTGTGTGCGTGCGCGCGTGTGTGTGTGCGCGCGTGTGCGTGTGTGCGCGCGCGCGCGTGTGTGTGTGTATATATATATATATATATATATATATATATATATATATATATATATATATATATATATATATATATGTATACCTAGTAGCTAGAACGCACTTCTCAGCCTACTATGCAAGGCCCGATTTGCCTAATAAGCCTAGTTTTCATGAATTAATTGTTTTTCGACTACCTAACCTTCCTAACCTAACCTAACCAAACTTTTTCGGCTACCTAATATATATATATATATATATATATATATATATATATATATATATATATATATATATATATAGATAGATAGAGGCAGGCAGTATTTTGGAAAGAATTGGGGACCAGGCAGGATTTGAGAGAGGGATCAGTCAGACAGACAGCATGGATCAGGTAAACAGGAGAGATTGAATGAGCAGAGGACGTTGGGAGTGAGGGATCATATTAATCACGTGTTTATTTTCGTGATATACACACATATATATATATATAATGTGTTGTACCTAGTAGCCAGAATGCAGTACTTGGCCTACTATGCAAGGATCAATTTGTGTAATAAGGCAAGTTTTCTTGAATTTATATAATTTTCTATTTTTTTCTTATGAAATGAGATAAAGCTATCCATTTCATTATGTATGAGTGAATTTTTTTTAATTTGAGTTAAAACTAATGTAGATATATGACCGAACCTAACCTATCTTAACCTAACCTAAACTGACATATCTAAATCAATATTTTATGTTCTTAATATAATATAATAATAATATTTAAAATAAACCAATAGGAAACAATTTATTGAAAATAAAGAAAATCACTCGGCCTATTAGGCAAATCAAGCCTTGCTTAGTAGGCCGAGAAGTGCATGCGAAGTGCAAAAGATCCATTACAAGTACTAGAAGTGTTTGTTTTTGAGACGCACTGCAATTCCTCATTTGCAGCTGATAAGAGTATAGGACGGTCTGAAATATCATATTTTTTATTTAATTTTATATGTGGGTTGAGTTATTAGCTCTGTATACTTAATATTTAATGATATTGTGCAGTTGTGAATAATTTGCTGAATTTTAGAATTCCAGTTCTGTGATGCAGTGTAGTGCTAGGTATGGTGAATGAATAGTTGTAGTTTGTTAATGTATTTATCTTTATTCCTTAACTGCACCACTATCATCTCTGGGCTGATGCCTTCTATCCCATGGAAGTGGGAAATGATGCTATGATGGTGATGAGGGCAACAATAAATTAAATGTGTATATCTTAAACACTCCAGATTCAAGAAGAAAAAAATAAGAAGTCATTAAAAAGAAAATCAGATGGTGGTGAAGAATCTCCACCAAAAGTGCAGAAGCCTAACGAAGTTGAACAAACTGAGAAAGCTAATGAAAAGGAAGACGGAGAGTTGTCAGGTGATAGTTCTGAAAAAAATACTATTGGTGGAGAAAAGTCTTCTGAAGCTTTTGATTATGAGGCTGCAGATTACAGTTTGTTCCAAAAGGCACAAAGAAAAGCACAAGGCTCTTCACAGAAAATCAAAGAGAAGTTCAAAGGAAAGGTATGTAAAATAAACCTTTTTCTTTTGTTATTATTGGAATGTGAGCATTGGTGTGCATACATATAAAAATGTCAAATAGGTGAAGATTGTGAAACCGATAGTGAGAAATCTAGGTTATAGCACATTATGTACAGACCAGGTAGGTGAGAGCGAGGGGTTGGGTTGGCAGGGAGTATTTTGGGCTAGATTGGGGGACCAGGCAGGATTTTACAAGGAATCAGACAGGCAGGCAGGTAAGAAGGATTTGGTGAGAAGGTGGGTGGGGGGGGGGGGGGTGAGGAAATTTAAGATTGGGCAGGCAGGCAGTATTTTGGAAAGAATTGGGGACCAGGCAGGATTTGAGAGAGGGATCAGTCAGACAGACAGCATGGATCAGGTAAACAGGAGAGATTGAATGAGCAGAGGACGTTGGGAGTGAGGGATCTAGGGATCGGGCAGGTGAGAGAAGGGTCTCAGGATTTTTCCCTCAGCTGACTTGAGGGCCAATGCAGTGCAGAGTGCACCAAGCATGCACCAAGTAGTGCATAAGGATAGATGTATGGAAGTCTGGCATGTTAGGCATGTATGAAGTGCTCACATGGCTAGCAACATAATGCTCATATGGAGGCTGCTGTGTGTCCAGTGTGGAATTAGATAGGGTGAATTAAGCAATTATGCCATTGTATAAGAGTCGGGAACCAATCTGATTTGAAGGTGCAAATCATTGCAAGATTTCATCCTGCCAGGCAGGATGAAATAAGCAGTGACCTTTGGTATCAGTCTCAATCATTGTGAGGGGAAATCATGATGTAATTGTGATATCAGTGTTGAGGGCCAGCCTTACTATAAGTACAGTACAAGATCTTGTTTAATTCTCGTCTTTCTGCATGTTGATCTGAGTGGTCGACCAGAAAATCTCACCTCAGTGCCTGCATGGGTATAGGTGAAAACCAAGATAGACCCGATGATGTATGTGTGTATTTATCTTTGTGGTATCACAACATCACACTTGTCAGTGAATTTGAGGTTCATATACACCTCACATAGTTATTGTGTGATAATTCCCTGTCCCATTGACAATGCCTTTATTGATCTATTATGTGTGTGATTATGGCTGAGTATCCAGTTCAGAACTCTTGTGTAACTTTGCACACCAGCATCGATAAAACAGCCATTTTCATGATTGGTTGTCAACCATGTCAAGTCTGGTTTTGGTTGTCAACCATGTCAAGTCTGGTTTTGTCCATGAGGGTGACTGTGATTGATTAGTGAAATGTTCCAGGTCTCGCTAATGCAATTTATAACTTTGCTGACTCCATATGACAGTGTCATATTCAAGCTGTTGATCTGCGGCCCTCATAATTTTGATGTACTTGTTAAGTGTCAACAAGGATTAATCTTAACAAGATTGTGATTATTTCTCTAATTTCCTCAGAATCAGAAAGGACGAGGTGGGAAGTCAAGTATGAAGAGCTTTACTTGGGGCAATGCTGGTCACAGAGGTCGTCGATAGCTGTGGCTAACCATGAGACTTTGTGATAGACCAGAGTATTTTACTCTTAAATTTGTGGTTAGATATCATACTCAACTTTTACAGTGAAACATATGAATACAGTAATGAACACTGTAATGTTCAGGATTAGGAAAGATCAGTTTGAGTTTTCACAATGTTATCTATATTAGAAATATGAATCATAATACAGTATTTGAAAATCATTACAGATATGCAAGTTTTGATTTTTCTACATTGCTCTAGATCTGTAATGAGCAACTTATTGTTTTATGAAAAAAATAGTGATTTCTTTTAATCAGCAAAGTTGGTCATATAAACAAATCCATATAGATATCCCTCCCCCCTCCCTCCATTATTTTTTATTTTGTAAACTAACTTTACATGTACTAATGAAAATGGTTATCTTGCATTGGCTGGTAATTACATTCATTAAATGTATGTTTGCACTTTTGCTGTTAAGCTTCTGACACTTGTGCGTAGCTATATTCAATGTTTGGAATACACAAAGGATATTCTGCATTTGTTCTGGACTTTATTGGGAGTAACTTTATAACCTCACTGCAAAGCAGGATGAGGCATTATGACTTGGTTCTTTTCTCATTTGTTATAATCTTTTGTGCAAGCTACCCCAAGATATTTCAAGTGAATATGAACCCAATTGTTATTATGTACAACAATCAAATGTTTAGAACATTATTAACCATCAGATGTCAAGGGTCGGAGCCAGCCACGTCAAACATGTGTGTTCACAATAACTATTTAGTCATTGTTAAAGGATGACTTGGATGTATTCTTGAAATAATAATTAAATATATAAAACTTGTTAGAAAAACCGTTCGAAGAACTACTGTTGTATCATTCAGTATCATATACAGTACAGCATTTCTCTTTGTAGTGTTGACCAAAGTGCGTGTTCTGAAAGTCATTCTTTGTTGTGTAGATGTGTTACATTGTTATCCTCAGTGTAATGTATCCCTTGCCACTGATATTCTTTCAAACATTTTATTTGACGCCAACTTTGACTCTAGATACATTCCCACCATGCAGCTTTTTTTTTTTTTTTTTTTTTTTTTCCCTAATACTTGGCCACATTGTGTGTAAGTACTTTTTCATTTGGAGCATTTTGGACTTCATTTAACAAGTAATCAGTTCTGCATTCATAACAGAAAATCCGTATTTGGACATTAACATGAATTAACATGTAAGGATAGAAATTTGTGATCTTCCCCTTTTTCTCTCTGTCTATGAATGGGCTTTTGGCTTATCTTGATGTCAGATCATTTGTGTAAGGTGCTGCAAGAATTATGTATTAGTCTCATTTACTGTCTTGGTGTATTAGTGTGTGTGTGTGTGCACATTATAAATTGATAATTCTGCTCCAAATATTTGTGGATTATGTCCCAATTCTTTTTTACCAAGAAATATTAAAGTCCAGATGTCAATGCAATACTTTAGAATAAGAAATTGTATATAATAATATCTTTGTTTTTATCACAATACACTTTTCATTCTTTAACACTTGAAAACAAAAAGATGGACTAAATTATTTGCTATCCCAGTTACTGAGAATGGGAATGCATTTATTTAACCCTCCATTTTGGCTTGTAGATCTAGCTCTGTAGATCTGCTCACCATTATTTTATTTAAAACTGACAATAAATAAGTATTTTTAAGATTTTAGAAATGAAACTATGAATTTAATAATTGTTTGGAGAAATTCTTAAGTCTGCTAAAGCTGATGGTGGTAAAAACAGTATTGTGTGGTGTGCCAATCCAGTTCTGGAATTAAAATCAAAACAGAATTGCAGGCATAAATTTGCAACTCCAATTGGAAAACTTTACATTCCAAATTATCATCATCAACTCATGGGGAAGGGTTCATACTGTCAAATGATCCAAATTTATATTTTAAAAATAGAATCACATTAGGTATGGTTGTAAATGAGGTTCTGTATAAGTGAGAGGTTGTGAGATTGAGTGTACTGTAATTACCGGTGTAATTACAGGATGAGAGCTATGCTCATGGTGTCCTGTCTTCCCAGTACTGTCATTTGGCACTTTGAAACTACGGACAGTTTGGACATTCACCACCACCTCACTTAACTTGTTCTGACTCTACCATTCTGTGTTTGCTATAGAGAATTTTCAAATATTTTTTGGCACCTTTGTTTCCTTAGCTTGAACCTATGACCTTTTGTTCTTGGAGTTTCCAGTTTTAAGGATTACTCTTGTTAGCTTTGTAGATTCCTGTTACTATTTTGTATGTTGTGATCATGTCACCTTTTTTATTCTATCTTCTAGCTTTAGCATATTTAATGCCTCTAGACTCTCTTCATAATTCTTGTTTTCAGTTCTGGAAGTAATTTTGTAACATGCCTTTGCACCTTTTCCAGATTATTAATATGATTCTTGAGATATGGGCACCATATAACTGCTTCATATTCCAATTTTGGTCTCAAAAGCTTCATGAATAGTTCCTTTAGTATTTCACCATCCATGTATTAAAAAGCGATTCTGAAGTTGGAAAGGTAGCATGTGCTCCTTGCACAATGTCCTTTTTGTGTTCCTCTAGTGACCGTCTACTATACAGAGCCAATCCTAGATCTCTTTCTTTGTTACAGGTCTTTAATTTCTTTGCAGATAGTTTGCAGGGTGTGTGTGGCCTGTTTTCTCTTATCCCATAATGTGGCATTTATTCGCATACAATTCCATTTGTCACATGGCACTCCATTCACTTTTGTCTAGGTCATTTTGAAGGGCATGCCAGTCTAAGTCTTCCCTAGTAACTTACCATCATCAGCAACAATGTTCATGTAATTCTGTATTCCTTCTGGTGGATCATTTATGTAGACGATGAACATTATTGGTGCAAGAACCGAACCCTGTGGTACTCGGCTAGTAACACTCCTCTGGTCAAGTACATTACCCCAGATTACCGCCCTCATCTTTCTGGCAGTTAGAAAAAAAAATTCATCCATGTCAGCAACCTCACTGTGTGTGCAAGCGTGTGTGTGTTGTCTGGGTGTGTGTACGTATATTCTATGTTGCCTGGGTTTCTGCCAATTTATGTATTGTTGGCAGGTCAAATCTTTTGTTTTACTCTATTCTTATTTGAAACTTTGTATGAAAATTAAATTTTGTTTCTTGCTCATATTTTTGCATAGTTCATCTTTCAATGTAGTATGCTGATATTTGAGATTGTACATCTCTTACTTTATTACTATCTGGACTGTATTTGATATTTACTATTCTTATGTGCATAAAAGTATTTGTAGGGAAGTAATTTTATTAGGAAGATATTTTTAGTGTAATATGTACTTTTTATTGTTACATTTATTTTGAATAATTCTTCCTCCGAAACCTGTTCCCATCTTCATTTACTGAACATACTGTTTTGAAGTAATTTATTTTTCCTTGTTAGAATGTCCATTGTTTCCTCTCAAGTTTTTAGATTATCTTTAGATTCTAAATAATGTAGCTAAAGATTAGTTAAAGAAATCCTTCTACTTTCTGCATATTACATATCCTTGTGTATATAGGAAGGATATGTAATTGGAATACCAGCCTTAGAGACCTTAATCCAGCCTTAAACCTGCTACATGAGCTCGTGTTTTATTTTAGTGAACAAGATTTGCCATAATTTCTCATTCCTAGCTAATTGTTCCTAGTGTGCCAGGATATGTTGGCTTGTCAGTTTGTTTAATGAGCATAAACATTTCAATCCTTTCTTAAAAATTGAAGCAACATTTTATTGCATTTACATGTAACAATAAATGTATATACTGTACTGGAATTGAAATTGTGGATTTTATTTTATTTTGACTGAGAAAAATTAATGTGCTACCAGACATAATGAGTAATTGGTCTTAAGTGTATAAATAGATCCATGCATGTGGTGTTACATGGGCCACAGGGAGTGGCTACTTCTCTATTAAGCCTTCAATTGTCATTTCCAAATAATTAGCTACATTGGTGGCTTTATTATTGATGATAATGCTTTCACATCAGAATAATCTTTGCATAATCTAACCCTACTTAACTTGTCCAATGCTAAACCCTATAACTTGTGGCACACAATATAAGTAAATTTAATAGACAACCTGGGCTGGCTGTGGCAGCCACGTGTGTGAACAGAAAGAATGTGATTGATATCAGTAATTGGGGTTTATGGTGGATTTGTTATTCTTGCTGTACTGTTGGTGTATTTCACTTAATTCCTCTACATTGTGTCAGCATGTGAATATAGATCAGATATATTTTTATATTAAAGTATATTATAAGACCATGAATTTGCCTGCAAGTGCTATTATCCTATGGTCCAGACTAAATTCAAATTTCTCTTCAGAAAATTGATTTAAAAATTGCAAGATTTTATGTAGATTTAAAAACACTACATTTATGATTAATAAAATGTGGTTTTCTATAGATCTTATAACAGAAAAACCTAGGTTTACAGACAAATTTTGTGAAATATAAGAAAAAACTATGAAGATATATAAAAAATTATTAAACAAATGACTACAAGTATAAAGACCAATAGTTTGTTGTATATAATCGGCCACGCGCTATCTGAACCCCTCGGGACTGAGACTGAATGGATAACATGTTGTGTTCGGATAAGTGGCTAGTCATCCTGAAAAGCTAGGGGGGAAAAGTGACAATTTTGTTACAGAAATTCAACAGTGTTTTGTTTGTACGTGCCAATATATGTTCTGATCTGCTTGTTAATGCTCCATCAACTGATCTTCAAGTTATTTAGATAGAAAAGGTGGTGGTAGATGATGATAATGTTGTGTTAACTGAAGCGGAGATTAATGGTGATGAGGTAACCTCCTTAGACTGCCTTTTACCATGTACTCTAATGTGCCTAATGCCTGATACGATGGCAGAGGTTAAAGCTTCTGAGCCATTCATTAGTGTATGAACAGTGCTCAAGTGGTGCTGTGTACAGCTGTTACTCCAGGTCCTAGCTCGCTTGGAGACTTACCAGGGGCAAGTAGTCCTTTTGGCCCCATGGTGGCTAGACCAGCCATTGTTTCAGGCGCTGCTTGTCTGGTGTCCGAACCCGAAGGTTTTTTCGCGGCTTTGCCTCTTTCAGGAGATCGGCCTGGTCTGGTACGAGACTGGTTCGCTCTTCTCCTCGAGTCTTCGTGTTTCGTGTTTTTGACTGGTTTAGCACCATCTTTATGGTGCTCAGGTGGCCTCTTTGATGATTTCCCACCTGTGGGCTTCTTCTCGGTAGAAGTATGAAGTTTCCTGGCGGTCCTTCCGTTTCTTTTCGCCTCTTCGTCGTTGCTCTTTGCTTTCGGTTAGGGTGGTGGTGTCCTTTTTCTCTTGGTTGTTCCAGGACCGTCATCTTATGCCTAATACAGTACTGTCGCCTCGTATCGGGCGGTGCTGGCGGAGCTGCTGCAGCTTGCTTTCGGCATCGATGTTACTTCTACACCGTTTCGCAAGCTGTCTCGTGCGTTGTTTCACCTATTGCCTGCTAATGCACCGCCCGAGCCGTCCTGGTCTTTGGACAGGGTGCTCTCCTTTCTATCTTCTCCTCGGTTTGTTATGGATCCTTCGGTTCATGATTGTTTTGCTAAGGCTCTTTTTTTCTGTTGGCATTAGCCTCTAGGGGTCGGGTGGCAGAGCTTCATGCTTTTCTCCAACGCAGAGGTTTTTGCTCTTGTTCGTGGTCATAGGTATGTTCATCTGCAGCCGTCTCCCTCTTTTCTGGCGAAGAATGAGATTGCTGCTTTCTGGAGGGGTCCTTGGGTTGTTGATGCTTGGTTGGTCAGGCTGGGAGTTCATCCTGTGTTGTGTCTGGTTGCGGCCCTCTGCCGTTATCTGCTTGCTACGGCTTCTGTGTCCGGGGACGCGCTTTGGGTTGATTCAGTTTCCCATCTTCCCTGTTCGCGGGTTCAGGTCTCTCAGGTCGTCTGCAGGATTTTTAAGTCTAGCCATCCTGCGGTCTATCCACGTGCCCATGACGTTCGTAAGTTTGCTGCTCTTGCTGCCATCTTTGGCAATATGTCTTGGGCTGACATTCAGGCATGGGGTTTTTGGCGGTCGAACAGGCGGCTGCACACTACCACCTTGTGAACATTCCTGGGCTCAGTCGGGCCTGTGTTGCATTGGGTCGGCAGTTGGGCAGCCCGTTGTCTCGACATCGAGTTGAGGAGTGGAGCACCGACTGCCTCCCGGGTAGGTTCCCTTCTTGTTTGTCTTTGGTGAAGTAGCTCCAGGGAGCCGTAGGGGGCTACCCACAGAAAACCAGCGTTGAATGTAATGAAACGCCCTTTTCTGGGTGAGTCCCGGAGGCTCCCCAGCAACCCTTCCTCCCTCTGATTGGCGGTTTTTCGCGTTTTTTGATATCCAGCCTCAGAACTCGGGTGAGGATCACCGGCGCGAGGGTCTGGGGCTCCCCCTTCCCCCTCTGAGGGTGGAGGGAGAGCTGTGCAGACATGCGGCACAGCTCGTGAGACATCATGCTTGTTTGCTCGTTTTTCTTTTGGTGTTCTGTCCACTCGTTTGACAATTTTCGTTGTTAACCAGAATAGGACTTTGTTTTGTGGCACTTATCTTTCTGGGTGCCTGCCCTGGTCGATGGCATACAGTATATAGAATGCCCCAAATCACATGTGCACTTCTATGGGCCATTGCTCCTCATGCCTCTGTGAGGGGGCCAGGTTCTGGCTTGTGGTCCCCGGTAGGCCTAGAACTCCACCCACATCAACTGATGCAAAATAGTTAGGGTATCCATATCAGCCATGGATAGCTCCGGGGAGCCTCTGGGATTCGCCCAGAAAATGGCGTTTCATTACATTCAATGCTTTTTTTTTTTTTAACCAAATTTCTCCAATCATTCCTTATAGTTCTTACTTTATAGGACCAGATATTAATTTGTGACATGCCTTTGTACCTTTCTATTTTGTCTATATGATTTTTGATATATGAATAACAAAACAACTGCTCTATGTTCTAATTTGGGTCTCATGTGTCATGAACAGTTCATTATGCATTTTGCCATCCTTCTATTTGAGGGCAGTCCAGGATCACCCCAAAATTTCTGTCCTTCAGTCATTTCACTTAATTTGCAAGCCAAATGTGATCTTGTTTCCACATATCTTGCACTACATTATGTTGCATTTTTCACATTG